ACTTATTTTATATTTAGATGCTATGCCGTGTGTCTCTAGGAGGGGTGCCTGTTAAAGGAACAATTGAAAAATTCTATAATCAAGAGTATTTAAACTCTTTAAAATTGTTGTGTTTTTAAATGTAGTGATTTTTATTTCTCTATTAAAGATATTCTGCGGGTGTAACGTAATTTAAGAACCTGTACAAAATCCTACTACTCATTTCATCATCATATAATTACCATCAACATATTATATGTCCCGCTGCTCGCCACGGATCAGTTCACTCCAGGTTCTTTCATGAAAATACTGTTTACGCTACCTTACGACGTCACGACAAAATGTACCGAATTGATACGGAAATTATACTAATAACGTGCTTTGTTTACTGTTCCACGTCCGATTCTTACATCGTTTCGAATAAACTTAACTTACAATTTTGATTTAAAAATTACTTATAGCAATATAATTTGATTCAGTATTGAGTCATTTTTAGGCTAATATTGCCACTGAAATCAGGTAGATAAAAAACAAGCCTGAAAACTACACTATTGCATGTTTTATGTCACATTGGAAATATATTTGGTTAACAGCTTACTCAAGTGGCATTTTGTACAAATATAGATGATGATGACAAATACTTCAAGATGTAAATATGCAATTAATTTTCGTCAAAATTGCAAGTTCGCCCATTAGCCTTGTACGGAACGATCTGTCGTACTTGCTAAGTCATTTCAATTAATTAATATTAAAAATAATAAATGTTTCTTATAAATTCAGTACTAAAAATAAATTGTATTTTTATAAAATCATATTGAACAATAAACTTATGAATTATATATTTAATTGCATTACTATCAGTACAAAATGTGAAATATCTATATTTAAAGAATAAAACAAAATGCATTGTAGTCATATTAAAAAAAAATCGCATGTCTAAACTTTATTTTCAAAAATCGCGTCAAAGTAATATCAATGACACATCAAACCTATATTGAACACAGTAACACACGTACCGAAATTTGGTCGCATAATTTTGGCGCTTTTAAATTTATTCCAGTCAAACCCTTACACAAAATAATCTCTGATTTACGTAACACGATATCGTGATACGAATAAGTTTAAATTTGCGGTTGAAATTCGGCAGGTGTGGCGTATATATTTTTCAGATTATTGCACCTATAAAAAGTTTACTTTTCTTCGGGGATAAAATCTTCAACAGGCATTGGGCAAGCGTGGAAGATAATGTGTAAGATAATGGCCTGATTTAAAGTGTAATACAAAACAGGTATAAAACTAAGTGCGCCTTCAAATTAGATGCTTATAGAAGTTCTGCAGTGGGGGGTCTGCGGCGTTGCAGCCGCACCACTACTCATTTTTATACACTATCTAGTCTGCAAAAGTGGCGCGTTTGTGGCGCCATTGCATCGCTTCTATAAGCGTCTAAGTTGAAGGCACCTTTAGTTAGCGAAACAGGCTCAAAATACAAATCAGTGTTGAGCGACGCCTGCCGCTCAGTGAATGCTGAGACTGTATGTATGAATGAATGAATGAATGAAAAAATTGTAATAGTTTTCTTTATAATATTATTAATGTGTGTGGAAATAAATGGTAAAATTTATAGAAAGATATTAATGTCGATTTCGTGACTATACTTCTTATCATTTACTAAAGGTACCGGTACTATGTACACTAAAAGAAATAAAACTGTTTGTCTTTAGCGTGTTTTTTCGGCTGTAGACATATTTGTTGTTATAACAAATGTGTTTACAGGCCCGCTTGATATTTTAAAATGCATCCTTGAGGGCGTGGGAACAACAATTCACGAAAGATATATCGTAATCAGACAAATAATAATGGTTTGTATGTTTGTTTCGTATGCGGGATACACACAAAATCTTAGATGGCAAGTAACGATACTGCCGGTCAAAGTACCTGTTCGCTTTCACTTTGAAAGTGGCGTCACATTTTTATGTACCCGATTGCTAAAGACCTAAATTAACTTGGCAAATCTATAAAAATATTGTCCTCCTATTCGCTCTCCATTAGTTGAAAATGGACAAGAATTGTTTAAACTTGTTGAAATATTCATGACAGTAGGTTTGATATGTCACAGATTGAAGTCACCACACCGGGTGTTTTGAACCGTAGTTATAAGTGGCACAGAGTTAAATTTAATTCTTAAGTATAAAGGGCGACGTGTCGTTACTGGTACGCCACACTTATGGTGTATAACACAGTTTGAAAAAGATAAGTTTTCTAACAGTGTAAATACGACAGATTACCGGTGGGGTTGTGATAGGTGATTAGGTTGCCTCGTCGACTTTCTTCGCTGCACCACTGCCAACCTTCTTGAACACAAGAACCTTTTCACCAACTTCGCCTTCAGGGAACTGAAAAAAATATTGTGAACAAATAAATACATAGGGATTTTTTGGTCAAGCAGCCGATCATATTGTCATAAAGTTGCTTCAAATATGCCTCATTCAAAATATACAACTGCCTGTCTACTCCTGCCCCATGTCTGCAAACTTCGCCCAATGGTTTGTAAAAAACAAATATACGCGATTTATAGTACGTTCGCGTTGAGAATGCTGTGAATCATCGTCCTAGCTACGCCCCGTAACCAATCTGGTCGCTCGAAATTAGAAAGTCAAGTTCACAGTGACTAGTTAAAGCGACACACAACGTTAAGAAACTATTTTATGACGCAATACAGTAATAGATGAAAAGAAGAAAATGCCATGTAGAATTTGGATGACGTCATGGAACTCGCAGACGAAAATTCTTTTATTATAAATACGAACGAAAATTCTATTGATACTGATTGAAATATTTATTATTAATGACTTTATTTAACCTTAATGTTTTAAAATATAATTTGTTTGAATTTTAACTCTGTGAATACACCTTGAACTTTTTTTTTTTAACACCTTGAACCTGCAGTTGCACAGATGACTCACTGCATTGTTAACGCGAACGTACTATAGATCGGAAAAAATGTTACATTTTCTATTATTATATTTCATACAGTTATATTCCGCCGCCAAGCAATAATGTGAGCATTACTGCGTTCCTGTTTTGAGGGTAAGGGTGCTGGTGAAATTACAGACACAAGAGACTTGTCAACTTATGGTCTCAGGGTGACGGGCGCAGCGGCAATGCCCCTCATATATTTGTGATTTAAAGCTCTGAGTGGCACTGCAATTGTTATGGACAGCCTTGTAGACTACGATTTGTTCATCCCCTCACTTGAAATTATAAAAAAAAAAACCACACTACCTGTGTATGCGGCAACTCGTGTATCAGCTTATAACCCGATAGAACATTATCGACGCGTCCTTTCAACACGTCAAAGAGCACGACCAATGTTGGCGTTTGTTTGTTCGCGTATTCCTGCCTCCACCAGCGCTGTGGGTTGTTGAAGAACGCTTCGGCCTCGTAAGTCTCGCCGGTCTTGTGTAAAGGCGGGTCGCAGTTGAGGTAGCGGGTTGTTACGTTGGCATGGAGATGGCTGGAAAAAGTTTAGTCATTTTATTGTAGTTCTTTATGCTCGTAGTCTTGTTTCGTATCACCACTACTGTCACAATACGTTGTCGTACATGCTTAGATCTAGCGCGATCGTAATTCAAATCTGTAGGTCATCCATTGTGGGAAAACTGCCGTAACTACGTATTTCGAGTTTCGAGAGTAGGGCCCTAGGTGCGAATGATTCACGTAGCCTGATTTATATAGCACTTTTAAACCCTATAAATAATAAATAAAATAATATAAAAATAAAATAATCATTTATTTCAGGCAATGTAGTCCATACAAGTTAGTTAGTAAGTTAGTAACATGACACCTTATAACTATGTTAGTATTAAGATTAGTACACAATCACAAAAATAATACCTAATAATTAGTTACAAATATAACAAACAGGACGAACGCAGCCACCCAGATGATTCACTGACTCACACGTAGAACATGCGTGAACCTCCTGAACACAGCTGCATCCATCCTGTCTGCTATCATCTTCAGGATCTCGTTGTTGCTACCCCTCACCCTTCGTACTAACGAAGTGGGCATTTTGCGCATGATGGCATAGAAATCATCCATACCAGCACCCGCAAACATGCCAGATGCGCTACAGAAACGGGGAAGCTTCAACAAGGCCATGAAGGTATTATTATACTGGACTCGCAACGCGCCGTATGATCTCAGCGTAAAGTTGGACCGTAAAGCACCGTGAATCTATGAGCCAACATATTGCCTCGAACCGACAACGCCATGCGCTCCCTCGCTATGTCTCCATCATCCTCCTCTTCCTGGTCCTCTGTCACAATATGACCCAAGTGCCTAAACTGTGCAACACGCCAAAGGTACCCCATTTAAAAGTATTGGTGGTACATAGGCTGGTTCTTTAATTTTACCCTTAAACAGCAAGATATATTCTGAGATATATATATATTCTAAGATATAGTCTATCTTTTTTGAAAATTTTTTGTTCATTGCGCATTTGAACTGCGTCGTGGAGTGAGACAGGGAGACGTCATCTCTCCAAAACTGTTCACCAACGCGTTGGAGAACGTCTTCAAGATGCCAAGGTAGACGTAATTTTGCACAACCTCAAGAGTAGGTTACAGGTCCCGGGTTCACATGTGCGTTGAACATAACTTTCGTTTTGTCCAGGTTCAGCCAGGGGTGGTCCGGCATGGTAACCGTTTAGCCACGGAGGCAGTTATCATCATCATCTGCTTACAGGCATCCATTGCTGGACATAAGCCTCCCCTAGAGCACGCCAACTTTTCCGGTTTTGTGCCGCCCGCATCCAGCCACTGTCGGCCATCTTGCTCAGGTCGTCTGTCCATCTTGCAGCAGGGCGTCCCACACTACGTTTTCCTTGACGTGATCGCCATTCGAGAACAAGTTTGCTCCATCGGCGATCAACCCTCCTGCAGACATGTCCGGCCCACTACCACTTAAGCTTGCTGATTTTGCGAGCTATGTCGGTCACTTTAGTTCTCTGAGGTATGACCTCGTTAGGGATTCGGTCCATCAGAGAAACCCCAAGCATAGCTCGCTCCATCGCACGCTGAGCGACCTTGAATTTGTGGACGAGGTCTGTTGTGAATGTCCACGTCTCGGCTGCGTAGGACATAACTGGAAGAACGCACTGGTTAAATGCCTTAGTTTTTAGGCTTTGTGGGATTGATGACATGAAGATGTGGTCAAGCTTCCCAAATACCGCCCAGCCCTAACGAATTCTCCTGTCGGCTTACTTCTCGAAGTTGTGCTTGCCAAGCTGGATATTTTGGCCAAGGTAGACGTAATTGTGCACAACCTCAAGAGTAGCCCCACCTACGGTTACAGGCCCATAATTGAACATAACTTCCGTTTCCATTTTGTCCAGGTTCATCCTGAGACCTACTCGCTCTGAAAAATCGTTTAAGCTGTTCAGCATCTCGCCGAGCTCCTGCAGAGGTTCCGCCATAATAACAATATGCCCGTTGATGTTGATGCCCCGTCCCTCCCACTCAAGCATCTCGAAGACATCCTCCAACGCATTAGTGAACAGTTTCGGAGAGATGACGTCTCCCTGTTTCACTCCACGACGCAGTTGAAATGGTCTTGTGCTCTGTCTTTGGAATTGGACGGTCATCGTGGCTACAGAGTAAAGACTTTTCAACACCTCGATGTAACGGCAGTCAATCTGACATCTCCGCAAGGAGTCCAAAACAGCCCAGATTTCGATCGTGTCGAAGGCTTTTTCGTAATCCACATACGCTAGGCACAAGAGTCGGTTATATTCTTCGGTCTTCTGAATAATTTGTCTCAAGGTATGTATGTGGTCTATAGTACTGAAGCCTTTTCGAAACCCAGCCTGCTCCGGCGAAAATCACCGAACTTTCGGGTAAGACGATTCGTGATAATGCTCGAGAACAGCTTATATACACGACTCAGGAGCGAGATAGGTCGATAGTTTTTCAGAAGGGTCTTGTACCCCTTTTTAACCGACTTCAAAAAAACTGCGATAACTCCGGTATTTGTGAACCGATTTTGTAGAAATAATATAGATAATTTTGAAGAAATTCACCCACCTCTAAAGGTGGCTGTTCACGCATGAAGATTCGTTTTTATAAATAGCGCCTAAATTTTATTGTAAGCAGCAATTATTTTAATGGCTGATTTCGCTATTTTCCAATTCAAGGCGTTTTCTTCCTCAATATACTTTGAGAAGTGAGAACAGATTTTTATTATATTTTAGTGGCGAACTAGGGGATGAATCCGGGTTTGTGCACTACCCGGTAACCGATTTCAATAAAACATGGTAATTATATGTAATTCCATGTACTTTTGAGGTCGGTTTTTTTAGTACTCTGTACTGAGATTATTGAAAAAAAAACAGGACCACCACGCTCCCGTTCCATGTCTCCGGTATAGTGCCAGTGTTAAGAACGGAGTTGAAAAGCTTGGCTAGCTCCTTTAATAAGACATTCCCGCCAGCCTTAATGAGCTCTGTCGTTACTCCGTCCTCTCCCGGGGCTTTATTATTTTTAAGTTGTCCGAGTGCTATCTTAATCTCACCCACGTAGATGTCGGGAAGCTCATCCGAATGGTGGTGAGTTAATTTGGCTCTTGGATCATTGAGGGTCGTATTCTAGAACTCTACTCAATGCTCAAGTCAGGATTTGAGTATGGTTTAAAGTACTCGAAATCACACTCAAGTCCCTGCCATTAGGGTCGTAGTTCCAGTGCTTGTGTTTCCAGTGCAATCCTGACTTGAGCATTGAGTAGAATTCTAGAATACGACCCTAAGTGTCTTGGGTCAGGGTCGTTTCTGGGCGTATAAGTCCGAATAAAATTATTCTACTTCAGTTGCAGTTAAATATTGAACTATTTCGCTTTGATCCACTGTTCTTAGCAAGCAGCAAAGTCAAAGAATCATTTAATCCATAGGCAAAATTTACACATGATAACTTCACATTTAAACTACTGCTCGTTCACTACGCTGACTTCCTCGAGAAGAACGAACAAGAAAGTCTAGGGATTGCTCTTTTCAAATAAACGTAAATGCTATGGAATACACTTTGAATCAAATTTGTGTGTAATCTAGACTCACGTTGTCTTTCCATGCATCTTTATCTAACACGTAGTCTTAAATTTTGTAATGTGACTTTTCAATTAAAATATTTTTAATGTAGGTCTTAATATAATGCACCGGAATCTTATTGTAAAAACGCATCATACAGTTCCCCATAAAAGAGTCATTTACCTTGGTTAAACGAAATCATGGTACCATAAGTTTGCACTTAGCTCTAAGGTTAATATTATGAATATCTTCTTTCTCAATGGAATTATGTATATTTTTACGGGCATATAAAATATTTGAGTAAATGTACTGTGACATGTTTTCCTCGCTTTTGTCATTTATAACTATTGTGTTGCGAGATCGCTGGGGAAAATGATCGACGGGTTACCTGTACAGCGGTGTGGAGTGGCAGGGCATCAAGAACAGCACCGACGAGTGGTTGGTCTCCACTGCCTGGCGCAGCAGCGGCATCGCGGCCAGCGTGCCACTCTGGTGCACCAGGCCGAAGTACGCGGCGGGAACGGCATTGCCCAGCAGGATGAGGCTGGCCACCAAGTACAGCTGCCACCTGGCCAGTACAATATTGTTTACTGAGACATTTCTAACGATAACACTTTTTTTGATGATACCAAGTGGTGGGGCGAACAAGTCATGCGCCTGGTGGTAAGCGAGACGCCTGTCCATAACAGTTGCAGTGCCACTCAGAGCTTTAAATTGATCGACTTCAAAAGTCATTCATCCCATAGTTTGCCACCCTGAGAGGTGGAATATTTTCTTCAAATTTAAATGGGACCACTCCTGAGGTCGTCGGTTCACAAATGCCGGAGTGATCGCGTAACAGACATACAAAAAAAACATACAGGCGAATTGAGAACCTCCTTTTTTTAAAGTTGGTTAAAAATAGACTAAAGTACATGCCTGCATGTAATATTAAAATTGTTACCAATAGTTGATTCTTTTCGTTTATATTTCAAACCGGTACTTATTTAAAAAACACGCCTCGTCACATAATAATACCTTGCGCCTTTTTCTCATCGGGGTAGGCAGAGACATTAGCCTTCCACTGGCTACGATCCTGATACACGTCTTTCATGTGACCAATACGTGTCAGTGCTTTAAATCATGTAGGTGGAAATTCGTAAATGGCATTGGATTACTCATATTTAAGTTTACTATAATTGTATTATTTGTCCGTCAATTTTCCTAAAATGTATAAATAAATAAAAAAATAAATAAAATAAATAAATACATGCTCGCCGACGAGTATTATAAGTATAAGAAACTTACTTTTTAGCTTTCCGACTCCAAGGAACGATGACAGCCTGAGCCAAATAAAGTAGAATCGGTAGTAGAGGTAGGACGAAGCGGAATTCCTTATGCGGAATAAAGCTGGAAATAAGGGTCAAAGTCAAAAATTTATTTCATAGGTAAGCAAATTACACTTGAAATCGTCATGTTGATTAAATTCTACTGCTCATTCGTAAGGCAGATTCCCATGAGAAGAATGAGCGAGAAATTCTATAGGGTTGCTCTTGTAAATATACATATGCACATATTCATTTACAATATTTATTTCAGACATCATAAATCGAAACAAGGGTTAAGTTTTAATAAAAACTTAGGACGCATGTACACGTTAAAAAATTCGACGTGTCTGCTACAGAAAAGATGAGAATGGTCTTGTACACGACAAGAACTTTGTTGGATCTAGCCACGAAAATCTGTCCTGTCTGTTGCAGACGAGAAAATGAATTAATGAAATATTCACTATTGCACATTAAAATTACAATGAGAACACAGAACAGTAATGTAAGTATCAAGAAAATGATGAGTATGAACACGATACGAACGCTTTCGGACAGAGCTGTGTAGGGTAAAATGTGTCAGTGCATTACGAGCGCATATACGTTCGTTTACTGACAATGCACCTCACACCCCCGCTACCAGTGGTACTAGTGGGAACGATAGATTAAAGTAATAGATATGTACATGCCGCAAAGGGACTCTAGCCGTCAACCTCTCAATAAAGAAGCAACCCTTCTTTCCACTACGCTACTCTTGCTGTGCATGTGATAGATAAAAACATACCTGTAGAGAGCAAGATGCAACCCGCAGGCGGCCAGCAACAATACCCCGGTCCGGTTTTCTTTGGGGCGACGCAGTATAGTAACTATCGCCCACGCTACTGGCAGCAAGTTGATGCCGAGGACCGCGGGGAGGCCTTGCGTCAGATACCAGTGCCTATGGAGTTCACGTTCATATTTATTGCATTGCCACATAATTGGCTTAGATTAGAGTCCTCTGGGTCACTGCAATGTGGGACAGGAGAGCCAGATTCAATAGAGAGATCGGAGAGCTAGTGTCTGAGGCAAACATAATCGGGGAAATAAAATCAGCCCGACGTCCGAGATATCGCTGGAAGGACGGACTCGCTAAAGATCTGAGGAAGCTGAATGTGTCCGAATGGTCGGAACTTAGTGCCGGAAACCAAGAACCACATCAGGCCGCTGAGCCAGTGAAGTATAGGGGTTTTCAGATCGAACCCGCCGACGCCTTGTTTCTAATCTAATCCCATGACAAGATTCTAGAAACAAGGCAGCCGTCACCATCCTGTCAGGCTGTGTCGGTTGGCGTGTTCGATCTGTGGACCCCTATACATAAAAAAGGCATCTAATTTAAAAAACGCATTATTCAATATGGTTTCTAATAGAGAGATTTTTATGCAACAGCGCAAGTCAGTAGCTTGCACCGTCTAAATTCAGGATGTACTTTGATAGATACAATAAAAAAAAGTCATACACCCTATTAGCTTTAAAAGAAAAAGAAATGTAATACATACCAAGGATGCTGTCCGTAGAAGGAAGCAATGTCGTTTAAAATGTTAAATCTAAAGAACTCCCAGGGTGTAATAACCAGGTTCCCGTAGAAGTAGGAGTCCAATGCTACGAGAGCTGCTCCTGAGATCAAACTGCAATGGAAAGGGAGCTTTTATGAAATTGGTAGCTAATAATAATAAAAAGAGTATAAAAGTCACTAAATATTATAGAAAGTTGACACGCAAAATAGGCGTCGAGTTGCGGACACCACCTCGGTACACTATACCAAACTAAACAGTTTAAACATGTCTGATGCTTCCGTTTAATATTCTTCGGCCCTTTTCCCATAGCGCTGCAGACGCGACGCAATCTTTCCTAACTGTAGCCCCCGTAGCATGCCGCCCCGATAAAGCTATTATATCCAGGTTTAGCTATCAAATTCGAGAGATAAAACGGCCATGTTAACACAACAGCTACATGGCAAGCACCGTAAAGTCACATTTCCATCGCATTCCGAAGGCCGCGACCAATGGCTGCAAAAGACTATCGCAGTGCCAAACATGGCCGCAAGGTGACAGCTAATTTTAAAATATTTTAACAGTTCTGCACAGTAGTTTTATCTTCATAAAAAACTGAGCGTGACAAACGAGATATAAAGAAATAATCAAAACCAACAAATTGGTATTATACAAATTATTGGAAAAAGGTGAGGACATTTTTAATACAGTTCAATACATGAGAGTAATTAGAAATCCCTACATAAGTAATATAATGTAAAAGCCTAAACTACAAAAATCCGGCATTTTGTGTTTCGTCGTTTTCGCGGCGATGGTTAAACGACAAAGATAAGATACACGCAATTTCATATCGTTATCCTTGTTCTTCAAAATGTATAATAACACTTAATTACCAAATAAACAAAAGAACGAATAACTCTAGTGCGGTATCGTACCGGTTTGGTATTCGCAATAAAAAAAAATTAATGATGACAAAATAACTTTATCAACTGAAATAAATATGTCACAGTGAGGTTTAACACACATTGCATGTGATATACTGCCATGCTACAGCCACAGGTATATTAAAAACATTTCACGTTGCAATCATATACAAATTTTGCTATCTTTAGGCGAAGCTATGTCCAGCACACACACGGCATAGCAAATAGGCACGTGTCGATCTACAAAAATAAGGGTCGAAAAATATCGATCATCTGGTTCTTACTCTTTACTGGATTTTGCCTGATTACACATGTCGATCGACAATAAATCGAGCAATCTGTAAGCACCTAAACACTAAAGGTCATTAATGTTATTATTTACAGCTTCTGCGTGCATGGATGTCAAAAATCCGTGTTAGAGACCCATTTACTACTTAAAATCCTGAGATGAAATATTACTTTGAATCAAGGCGTGCTTTACGAGTTTACAGTGCCAGCTGGCGACCGCCTAATTACATCGTACACTCCACACAGTTGGCTAACCTGTCATACCTGGGGGTCGATTCAGAATTCCGATTTCCAAAGACCGATTTCCTTTCGTGTTTATTCACAACACCTTGTCGTATTAGAAACCGAACCGAAATGGCGTCACACCCATACGATTACTCTATATACTCTATTAAGACTAATGCATTCCTATATTTTAGGCCTTTAAAGTCTTAAAAATGTCTATAAAAGGATTTCCATTTTTCTTATAATCTATTTCACCGACTAACTGCGTAAACGCTGTTGGATAACGATATCGTACCCGAATCCGAATCGAACGTTTACTCGGTTATATAATGAATAGTTCGAAAAACGCCCTTCGATTCGAGAACGATATCTAATCGAAAGATTCGGTTAAAATATCGAAGAGTTCTGAATCGGGGTTCAGGAACGCCAACCTTCGTTGTTGCGGTTTAATAAATACCTAGCGACCTCTACACTAACGAATTAATATTAACGCCATCTATTTGGCAGAAACAACAAGTCAGTGTAACGTTCCACTTGGAAACAATAATAGTCAAAACGAGGTTATAAATTAAACGCACTGTTTGTAGTTTGTTTTGTGGACGTCCCCGTAATGGCACTCCGATAAATAAAATTACGCCCTCACGGCAACTGCCACTGCAAACCCTATGTAGAAGGACTATGTGTCACTTTCCCTAAAACTCACGCTATAGGCAAGTAGGTGCGCGTGAGCAGTCTCAGTCGGCCCTGGTTGGTGGTCAGCAAGTTGTACCCAATGAGTACAACCCACAGAGGAGCTGATGTCGGTCGCAGGAACACGCTCAATGTCGCCAGCCAAATCCAATTGTTACTCTCTGAAATTGATATTACTGTATCAATAACCTATAGCAGGAAATGGACGAAGACTTGTTGTCAAGGTCTTATTTAAAATATTTTTTTTATATTTAGTTTGCGTTTCCAAATTGAGGCTGTCAGCGCAAAAGTGGTGTAACATCATTTAATGCACATACATTTAAAATAATTATAGTCAAACTCAATTTTATGTAAGTAATCATCAGTGATCGGAATTGAGTTACTTAAATTTGCTGAACTAAAGAATAATGTGGACTTTCCCTTCTACAAATCCCGGGAATTATCGAAACTGATTATATTTCAATATGTGTATTATTTATTGAAATTCAAGTACGTATACATTAAGCGGTTGCTACAAATTATTGTCTCAAAAAATAATACTGTGGTTGTGTTTCTATAGGCACTTGCGTATTTAACTACTTTAGCCATTTAAAAAATAATGTTGATACAAGCTGTGTTCTAGAATGTTTAGAAAATAAACAGTAACAAAAAATATACGCATTTACGACGAAATGGGTATGTCCATACTAAGAAAACATCCATACTTTAAGTGCAATAACTCGCTCAATTATTATATTTTTTAACATGAAAATAGCTCCCAAATATAAAAGAATTGTAAGTACTTTGGTATGATTTAAAGTAATATTGTGGACACACAAAACTTAAATGAGGGTGACACCACTTTTGCGCTGATAGCTATAATTACGAGTATAGGCTTGTCTCAAAAACACTTAATTCATCAGGAAGTTTAAAAAATCCAGAGTTGTAAGTACTTGGCGCGCAATGTCGGCAAGTCATATGCCAGCCCAGCCAGCCAGCCAGTTGTCACGTAATTATTTTGACTAATGGAAGTTTCTGTCTTCTTCACAATAAATTTCAGCATATTTTGAAGACAGCTACATTATAATTTAAAAATGAAGTATTTTGGTTGGGACCACTATAATTGGAATAAAACTTTATTTTTCCAATATTCATTGGTTATTATTATGAATATTAAAATGTTTTGTACTTGATATTTTCGCTCCAAATACAGTTCTGTTTACAATATAAAATAACTCTGTAAAGCTTACAATCTATAAAGACAGGAAAACTAAAGTAGTTTTCAAATTCTATTTCTCATATAAGTATTATATAATATATTGTTAAGGCAGATTCTGTGTCAAAACTTTATCATAACAAATTTTTTTTATTATACTATTTTGTTTATACTAGTCATTGTCATATAAGTCGGTACTTTTCTCGGCACATAAGTAAAAAATGCTTATTTTTTTAACATATCAGCAAACAAAGTTTTAAGTTCCTTGTTCTTTATAATGTCAGAATCTAAAAAGAAAGACAAGGTTGAAAAAGACGCCGCTAGAATATAAGTTCGAATAAATGCATTTAGTCAGTAAAGGTATTATATAAATGAATGATGCGGTTTTTGACTTATGTGCCATAGTCTGCCAGTCCTAGGTATTATCCCTTGACACTATATTTTAAATTGTAATTTGACGACTACAGTAGCCCCACGGTTTGCATTGTAGGCGCTGGATGAGGAGGTACCGAGGATGATGGCTGAGGATGATGAGGCTTGATGAGGAGGGTTAGATTCCTGGTAGGACCAATTTGCGAAATAAACTTTTCTAAATTTGATTCGTTCTGGGTGTGCTGAGTAGTGCTCCGGGGTGAATTTCCTAGTTTGAGATATTTTGTGTGTGTTGTGTGTAATATTGTGATATTTATAATAAAAAAACGAAATAGACGAACGGAGCGGTATTCACTCGCACCCGTAGCACATTTCACAATGCGCTTTACGCCCGTGTCGGGGACGGTTGGTTACGGTAGTCGCAGCGTCTGCGAGATAGATACTTTTTTTTAGTAATAAAAAATAATTGCGCAAAGATTTCGTAAAACACAGATAGTGTATTTAATTCCTTTGTCTTTACGCATTAAGAAAAAGAAAGCAAAGCGCTTCGTAGTAATGGTTTGTACGTCAATTCTATTCTATTTAATTCTCTACAAAAACGTTAATATAATTATAGTTTCTTGTTACGTAATAAGAAACAAAAAACATTTATCTACAAAGAAATGTATTTTTTTTTATTTAAAGAATGTTTATGCAAAAGTAGAAGTCGCCTGTCTTTTGTGCAACTCCAAAGGTGAGTAAAGTAATACTGTCACGTAATCACTTTTCAAATGCAAACTGAAAGGGTTACTGGTAACAATAGTATTGGCATCAAAGGAAAAGTCATAAATATACAAACATTTGTCACGAAAACAAAAAGGACGACATAGGAAAAATGTCAAGGACCCCCAGCTTGAGAGGCCTTTTGTGTTCGTAGCGTTTCGAGTCGAAACTCAGTTTCTTTTTTAACCGACATCAGAAAAGGCAGGTGGTTCCCTATTAGATTGTATTTTTCAATTACTTTTGTGCATGTATGCTACGCAATTACTTTTGTGAATTGATTTCGACGATTCTTTTTTGTTGAAAAGAGGGTACATCATTAGTGGTCCCATTCTGAAGATGGCAAATTAGGGGATGAATCTGATTTAGTGATTTTGAACCACTTTCCGTTAACCGATTTTAATAAAACTTGGCAAATAGGTACATGTAATTCCAATGCAAATTAAATGTTATGATGATCTTTTTTTATTAAATAAATGACCAGCCGAACAACTGTGCTCCTGGTGGTAAGCGACACGCCTGTCTATAGCAGTTGTAGTGCCATTCAGAGCTTTAAATCGCAAAGATTTAAGGGGCACTGCCACCGCACCCTGACATAAACGGACGACAGTAAGACACAAGTCCGTATTATGCCTGTAATATCACCAGCACCCTCTACCTTCAAAACCAGAATGCAATAATGGTCATACTACTTTTTTAGTTGGCATAGCGTCTGGCACGGGTTGCTAGACGACGTCGGTTCGAATCCGACCGGATCGAACGATTTTTTCTAAGTGTTCGATCTTTGTATTCATAATTATAACAAACTAGAGGAGTAATTTCACAAGAAATAATTGAATATCAATTCAACTCCAATCTAAATAATAGGGGTTAAAGTATGAAATTGCCGATTTGTACTGAAAATCTAAATTGTTTATTTTTTAAATTTTTAACAAATTTATTTAATCAAAATAGTTGCCATTATTATCTATACATTGCTGCCATGTAATGGGAAGGTTATTAATGCCTTTGCGATAGAACTCCGACGATCTAGACTGCACAAACTGTGTGAAAGCATTTTGTACTGCCTCCTGGGAAGAAAACTTCTTGTCACGTAGATAATTGTCCAAATCACGAAAATAATGGTAGTCCGTTGGAGCAAGGTCTGGTGAATACGGAGGATGACGAATGGTTTCTAACTGCAGTTCCTGAAGGGTCAAAATGGTTTCTCGTGCTGTGTGAGGTCTCGCGTTGTCGTGGAGCAATAATGGTGAAGATCGATTCATGAGTCGGGGCTGTTTTACTGCTAGTTTTGTCAACATGGTTCGGAGTTCGGCACAATAGACATCTGCCGTTATTGCTTGACCAGATCGGAGAAAACTATAGTGAATAACACCATGCTGAGACCACCAAACAGTTACCATTACCTTTTTATTGGTAAGTTTTGCTTTAGGACACTGTTGTGGCATTTGACCTGGGGTCAGCCATTGCATTTTTCTTTTCCGGTTATCATAAAGAATCCACTTTTCATCACATGTTACAATTCGATCCAATATTCCTTCATTTCTGTACCGGTTCAACAAGGCAACACAAGTTTCAACACGCGTTTCTTTCTGCAGATCAGTCAAATCATGAGGCACCCATTTTTCGTATTTTTTTATTTTATTGATTTGACGCAAGTGAGTCAATATTGTGGGTAAGGTAACGTTAAACCATGCCGCTAATTCCTGGGTAGTTTGACTAGGATCGGCTTCCACTATCTCTCTTAATTCATCGTTATTCACCTGTGGTCTGCCGGCGGTCTTCCTCGTGACTCGTTCTTTAAGTCGAAATTTCCATCACGAAAGCGTTTAAACCAAAATCGCACGGTGCGTTCATTAGTAGACCCCTCTCCAAACGCAGCATTGATATTGCGGGCTGTTTCTGCCGCGTTAGTTCCGCGTCGGAACTCGTATTCAAAAATCACTCGAATTTTCGCAGTATCCATCTTTCTTGTCTAAATTGAATAACAAAAACAATTGAAAGTCGATATTCAAATGTTTCAAATTAAAAAAAAAAAATCACAGAAACCATTTGAAAAAACTTTCATTCGAAAACCTCAAACCATGAAGATTCTATGAAAATTCAAAGAACCTATTGCAATAAAACGGCAATTTCATACTTTAACCCCTAATACAATTAATAGCGACATCTCTAGCCGAGGCGGGTAGCTACAGCTACCTAAGTTATCTAATCGGGTGACGAAATGCTTTCATAGATTTCTCGTAGATAGCGTTACGGCTAAAAGTCTGTGGAAAAAACCAAATACATATTACTTTTTTCAATTGGTAGCAGAAATAGGTAAGATGGTAGTACTTTCCTGGCCAAATTCTCTTACAAGGAGCTCTAATGATACTAAATACTGGACCCTTTCCACTGTGTCTACCGCTATAGGTATTGATCAGAGCTTTCAAGAGTTCAGAGCTTTGACTTATAGCCATATGGTTCAGGATGACAAAGTATACTACCAACCTTTTTCATAATATCCCATCCTTCCAGCCTTGAAAGGAAACTGCGACAGAGCAATCACTAGCAAAGCAGTTTCAGTACTTTGTAGCAAGGTGCGTCCAGACGTGTAAAACCAAAACCACGATGTGAGGATGAGAAAGAGTGCCCATTTGCGGCCACCGGTCCATTTGTAGAAGCTGTAGTCTGCTGCTGTGCTTAGAAGAGCTTGCAGGATGCGAGGCAGGAGTATCTGGTTATGAAATATTAATATTGAAAATTAATGCAATAAGATTATATGATTATTAATACAAAGAAAACCAAAAATAAATATCTGCAACAAGCACTTAGAAAAATTCGTAAGGTTTGATGTTTCGTTACGAAGATCATTTGGGAGAGCGTCAGCCACGTTATGCTGAAGGCGCTGCTTCAAATCCAGCTAGATTGAAGGAATTATTCTTAGTGTTCGATCTTTCTATTAATAATTAAAACAAACTAGTGTTGTAATTTCACAAAAATAATTAAAGATCATAGTGGTAAAACATTTTGATATTCAATAGAACTTAACATTGTAAATTACATATATGTTTTGAAACTTCTAACACACTCCTGTCAATTTGTTGGAAATCTTTCAGCGGCTAGAAAATTTGAACAGACATTTTACCCGATTAAAGATATTTTATGCATAATAATTACAATTCCCATTACATGAAATATTCTGAAACTTGTAATTTAAAATAAAACCACCATAGACTTGGAAAAGCCTCATTTTCTCTTTTTTTAATACCAAGCTACGGGACAGTTACAGTGCCACTCAGAGCTTTAAATCGCAAAGATGTTAGGGGCTGCCACTGTGCTTGTCACTCATCGTCGCATGTGCCTGTAATTTCACCAGTCTCTCAATGATTGTAATAACATGGAAATAATTTTAGTAACATTGAAATTTGATTATATTATAGTATGGTCTGGTATGGTGTAACGGGCTGTTGTCCGCAACTCGACGTCCAAGCGCCTATTTTGCGTGTAGTGGGTGCAGGGTTCTACTTGTGCCATCCAAGCTTCTCCAAAAATCTCAACATTCTTCTGTGTTGTTCGAAGACTTCGGGGAGCGACCTCTGCACTCCAAGGTATTTTGCCCTGTAGTTGACCACGCCAGAGCATTGCAGTATATTATAGGAACATAGAGCTCAACAACCAGCAAAACAAATATACTCTGCCTTCAAAGAGCTGATGTTGCACCTAGCAAGCTTGCAACTCCAAAATTTACAACTATTTAGAAATACCAACGGTTCTCCCATAAGCTAAACACTATTCAGTTCACTACTGTTGCTGCCAAACCCAATGAAAGGGGTAGATGTGCTGTGAAATTAAGGGGAGATATCTTCCAACTCATCTAATCATAGTCTGCTCGACATATTCTGTAATCTTTTGAGGAGAAATAAAAATTTAGAGGGGTCTGTGGCAAAGCCATAAGATGTGAGAATGCAAGCAAGACAAGGTCATAAGTGTGTGAATTTTCATTAAATGAATTGTCTTACTCATTATTGTGCACTTTCTTGCATTTTTCAATGGTATAATGTACTGACTTTGTTAATAATTCCAACTAAAAGTCGTGAGCGTTTCCAATACCGTTCAGGCTATGGAAGACAGCCTGCGTTCAGGTACTAATTTGTTCCTTGTCATTTCACAACACAGTTCGCAAAAATTGGAATCATTCACAGTGAATGCTGCTTGTATGTGGAACCTCCTTCCAGTCCAGGTCAGACAGTCACCTTCGGTTCGAGCTTTCAGGGTTGCCCTTTTGAAAAAATCTTGAAGTTATTCAGACTCCTCATCTTAGAGCTTATAAATTATTTATTTAAATTTCGCATATGTATTTAGTCTTATTTTATATATTCATTTACATATTATGTATTTGTGTGTACATTTGATATAATAAATTCTTGTAATTATTTAGTATGTAGCATTAAATTTAATGATTTTATATATTTTTAGATTTTACTGCCAACCCAGGAGCCAACTTTTCTTTCAACTATTCAATTATTCAAAGGTTAGCTGCAAGAAATCCTTTTATGGAATAAGCTCGCCTTTGTACAATAATGTTTTATTTCTGTTAAAAATTTGTTTTCTTGTATAATACAGTGTTTACATACATACATAATTACTGTATTACACATATAAATCTGCTAATAGAATTCCACCAAAGAGCAGGAAAACTTCACTATAATGAGTTACATAACTCAGTTTATGCAAATCTTACACTTCTTGAGTTATGTCTCAGACCCCTCTTAATTTTAGTAAGGGAAAAAATGTTATAGCAAAAAAATTACTTACCACAGCCTGTGGATAATCCAGCCCAGTATATTTCAGTACAGTGTACAATATAGCTACTATACTAGGGTATAGATAGCTTCGAATTCCCTTCTGCCACTCCCAGGTTAGAGCACCATAACCAAAAGCTTGATTGTGGGCCACTTCTAGTGTCTGCCAATACTCATCAGGCACATACCAGGTTTGCACCAAGAATACGGATAGCAACCTCACGAACAATATCACGGAAACCACCTTCAGGTGGGGCCTCAAGCCCTTTTCCCATGCCATTTCTTGCGTCTCCCGCCTAAACGAAAGAGGTTAATCGGCTATAAATAGAAAAAAAAAGTGCTCACTTACAATTTATTTCTGTATCTTTCGTAAATAAAACATTACAAAAGCAACAATCCAGACAATGTTCCAATTAGAAAGCAACAACTATTGAAGCTTATCAAGCGAAACAAACTTTATCATGAAGAATGTCAACTAACGCGTCCTTTTAATTGACGCGAAAAATGAATGAAACACTGTGATTATTAAACACACAAGGATGTATTAACTTATTGCAAATACGAAAAACGATGTTTCAATTACTGGCACCGTCAGAAATAAACATAAACACAATATTTTCGATAGTTATTCACTAACCTCAACGCAAGCTCGCCGCCACCGCGAAGTAGTGTTGTATAACTCAAAACATGTCAATCGGTAAATTAGAAAAATAAATGTAACGGTGCAATTTTTAAGATACAGTTCTCAACAAATTATTTTGAGGCTGTTTATAGGGCGCACTATAAGTTTCCGTAACTGGCCTTGTACATAAACAATATTTAAAAAGTAATTACAACATTTGAAAATGGAACTCTTTGGATTTAGATTATAGTTTGTTTCGTCAGATTGTCACTTGTTTTATACATTGTGGCGTCATTTTAAAAATTGAGACAACCAATTTCTAAACATCATCATAGATTTAACTCGTGAAAATTTTCGTAGCATGATTTTCTATGACTTTAAGTGTAATTTAACAGCTCAGCTTCTTTATTGACAAACTCCGCAAAAGTAACCGTAAACGCCGTATCATCTTGCGCCACGATAATGTCAGTTCTCACACGGTCAGACAAACAAAATAATGAATTTTCGAAGGTAAACAACGTTGACCTTATGAGCCATCCCGCGTACAGTCCCGACCTGGCACCTTGCGACTTTTATTTATTTAAAAAAATTAAGAACCAGTTACGCGATCAACGATTTTCATCATCTGAAGGGAATGTCGAAGAGAATGAAAAATATGTTTCAGAGATTGTCACGGAGGAGTGGCATAAATGTTTTCAAAATGGATTCATTCGTATGAAAAAGTGCATTAACGCTAACGGAGAATATTTTGAGAAACAATAAATTCATTTCTGACCATTTATAGTATTTTTTTTCTTATTCATTCCGAAACTTATAGTGCGCCTTACGTATCATAAGATCATTGGCTGTATAACTTTAGATTTCGTACATCTTATGGTAGCATTTCATATGGCTGTTTGTGTATTCGCGTTTTTGATATATTTATTGCCAAACAATCACCATTGTGTGGATAGCATGTGAGTCAAAGTATTTGCTATAGTTGCCTATTCGACGAATACAGCAAATACTAAACATGCGTTATCGCGCGCTGGTCGGTTTCTCGACGTCGTACATCGATGAAGTCAATTATGCAAATACGCAATGGTCATATATTATTAACTGCCTATTTGGCTCCATGTGTAGATTACTGATACTCTTGTAAAAATTTTTTAAAAGGTCAATGGTTGTCTATCAACCACACAACTTCATAAATAATTTGTATTAGTAGTTTGTGATAAATACACTAAACTCTAACCAGATTTTTTTTTGTACATTAATAGTTGTGGCTTGGATACAAATCCTTTAAGCCATGTCGTCGTTTAATTATCGGGATCCTCAGTAATATTTTCCATTGTAGTTCTAATTCTAATGGATTATGTTTTTACTTTCTCTTAAGTTACTTAATTCACTTATATGGGTTTTTAAATAGTCTTTTTAGTGGCGGGAGTCAATCTTTATGTTTTACTTTCACTTAGATAAGATAAGATGATATGATATGAGATGAGTATGTTTGTCCTTTTCACAAAAGGTGTTTCACCCACAAATAATAATTAATAACATTAATAAAACTGTTCGAATTTATTAAATCTCATTTCCGGTTTTTGAAACCACTACTCGGAAATCAAGGTTGGGTCAAAAACTCAATTTAGATCGCGACACGTTGTGCAGTTTTATGTAATTGTATTGTGTAAACAGTTATTTGAAATAAATATTTTTGAATATTTATTTATTACAAAAAACAATGAGGCTTTTAATTTCTTTTTTTTATTTTATTTAAACAGATACATTGACAGGAAATGCAGAACTGGAATGAAAAACTTTTGGAACGCATTTTATTTGTACGAACTCTACGAACGAACGAACGAGTGAAACAAAACATGACATGAGTGTTGATTTCGAGAAAATGATCATCAAATAAATAAAATGCCGTGAAATGCATTCATAGTCCAGAAAATGGGTAAGATTTTAAGTGTTACTCACCTGAAGGGTTAAAATATGTTCAGATTTAATAAATGACTAACCATCTGTTTATTACAGAAGAATCGAAGAGTGAAACCCTGGATTTGTCGAGGCGTGGGTTGAAGAAAATAGAGAAAGCGCCTGCTGAAGACTCCAAGACGATAATCAACCTGGTGCTCGATCAAAATGAGTTGCAAAGACTCGATAATATTGAAACTTATAATAGAGTGGAGAACGTAAGCATAATTTTTCCAGCTCAATTTATTCGGCGTAGTTTTTTTATGTTTGTATTTTAACGGTTTATCTATAATCACGTTACTTATTTGCATGTTGTGTTGTTCAAGCGTGCTTTGTGTAGGTAAATGTAATTGTACATTGAATATTTACATACATTCTAATAATTTTTCATTAAAAGAATATACAGCACCATGCAGTGCTCTCTGCTTTCTAAATAATATTATTTTGAGATTGTAATCTGACGTGAAGTAGATAAACTCCTCTGTATCTTAGTTAATGCTGTCCCTTGCAACAGGCACTTCATATTTGCTATGCTGGGCTAAACCAGAACCAAAAAACAATCGAAGCTTGGAAAAGCCTTATGTTCTTTGGTACTGTTGTTCTTGTTACGATAGTTTGATGTAGGAATTACAATAGATCAACTATGAATTAAGCCACTCAAAGGTAATAACAATGGTTCTTGAACTCATGTCCCTAACATCAGCTGACTGTGTTTTAACAATTCAAAAATTTTTGTTTTATATCAAGGGAGAGGGTAGACTCAAAAATACAGATATTTTGAGTAATAATAATATACTCTTGGGCACATAATTTGAGCTATTTCACATGTTTATTCGCAAGGGGCTAGAATACAAAAACATTATCATCGAAGAAAAAGTTTATTATGAATTTATTATGATTATTTATAATTTATTTAATTTCATTACGATTTATTAGATAGGTACCAAAATTTATGAACTTGAATAATCTACGTTAAATAATCTGTTGACTCAATAAATATTGGAGGTAAAGAGCATGCCACTTCACTAAAATAAAAAATAAAAGAGCAGAAGTTTTTGCATTTTTTGTCTATGACTGTTAGGTCAATAATTATGGACCTTCAGAGGCATGCATATGTCAAAAGTTAAATGAGCGGTTGGACGGAGTATAAGCAGCAATGTATTATTTAAATGATGTTGTATTGTACATGGCAGTATGTTTGTCTACCTACATACTATTTAGACAATTGTTCATTGCCTAGTCATGCATGAAATAGAATGACTGGCATCTTGCTCATCTAGTTCAAGAGAATTAACCAATTGAAGCTTTATAAATAGACTTACAATTTGATAAGTATATTTTGTATTAAATAACATTTAGTATTAAAACTACATGAAATAAACACTATATATTATTGAGCTCTGAAACTTATTATTCACTATTAAATATGAATGAATGAACCTGTAATGTTGTGACAGATGTACTTCTGTATTGTATAAATTTGTATAAAATATCAGAGCAGCTGTCTTGTTGGTGGAGTAGTTATTAAACAAAATAAATGGTAGCTAGGGCAATAGCTAGAGAACTAAAAGGTACTACTTGTAATGATATCCACACTGAAAAGGCAAAATGTCTAATATGCATTTGGAAAACATTACAGGGGAGCGGTTTAAAGTAGTTTTTTTGTAAATTTATTTATTATATGGAAAACTATAAAGTTTCAGCTTTTCCATAGCTTGAAACAGATATACAGAGAGTTGCAGAAGAGATCTTTTAAACCGACTTCAAAAAAAGGAGGAGGTTTTCAATTTGTCTGTTTTTTTGTATTATGTTACTCGATAACACCGCTATTTGTGAACCAATTTTGACGATTCTTTTTTGCGGGAAAGAAGGTACCTCAGATGTGGTCCCATTTAAATTTCAAGAAAATATTCCACCTCTAAGGGTGGCAAACTAGGGGATGAATGACTTTTGAGGTTGGTTTTTTTAACCAGAGGTTAGGTTATTGTATCATTAAATACATAATATGTACAGATATTTGTAACTTTAGCTATAATGTAGGATTGTAACAAAGTTGAGACAACATTCTGCACATGTCATTTTATGGAGCATTCAATTTAATGAATGCTTCTGCCATTTATTAACAAAATTAATTCCTTAACAATAATGTATTCCATTCAATATAAATTTTATTGCTGTTGTTATGTTGTCATCAATGTCGCACTTTCGTCACTTTTGTCAGTAATTATTAGCTGTATAAATTAATGGAAAATATAACTTTCAGCTTTCAATATGCAACAACTTTCTTCTACGAATGCACGGAGTGTCTCGACTGAGCAATATCAGAGTGCTTGCATTGAACAACAATGGCATACTGCAAATTGAAGGATTGAAAGATTTAATCTATCTGAAAGTTCTTAAGTTGGCTGGTATGTATTTCTTTTTTAATGTCAATTGATATCTTTTGTTTTGTGTAATGTCTTTAATAACATTAATATAATCTCTTCAATATTATAGTTTAAAAGAAACTTAAACGTTATGCATGCTGTTTATGCAGAGATAGGCAAGCGCCCGGGTTTTAATTGGCGCTTTGTTAACGCCGGGTTTAATTCGAGTTAAAACCCATTAACGCCCAAAATCGTGGGCATACACTAGTTACAAGTAAAAATGTGTTGAATGTTATTGTTATAAAAGTTTATTGCTTTCAGCCCCCGTAGCATGGCTACGCATGATTGTCGCGACGCGCGCGATAAGATTGAAAAAGTGCGCGCTATTGGCTATCTAAATTAGATCTGATTGAGACAGCCAATAGCGCACGCGTATTTCAATTTTATCATGCGCGTCGCGACTATCATGCGTCGGGGGCTGATCTAGACGATTCGTTTTGCCTTGCTATTGAATCTATTTGCTTGAAAATTGCATTTAAATAAATCAATATAAGATCATGAATTTGAATCGATTTTCATAAAGAGTAGTAATGTGCATTCTTAATAGTGGGAATCCACAGAATTGCGAGGTGGATATTGTTTGGATTTGCCTCTTTTTCGTCTATGTAATAAGTTGGAATTATGCCAAATTTCGTATTAATTAAATATTTTTTGCCCATGAAATTAGCAACCAAATATTAAATAATGAGCACTTTAAGAATCATTTAAGGTAATATTGTAGAAATAGAAATTAAATATGGGTTTACACCACTTTTTCACTTAATTATAACAATGTAAATGCCATTCAATTCGAAAAATCTATAGCATTACAAACATGCATATTGTGTTACTTGTTACATTATGCAGTATCTCATAAATCTACTGGTATATTTATTACAGGGAGCAACAGATAAGTACTATAATGCAGCTGTTAATTGTATTCATAACTAGAAATTGAAACAGGCAGTGTGTATTTAATGAGCTTAACTATAAACAATAATAATAGTACAATACTAATTCCAGTACTATAATAATAATAATAATAATACTTTATTTCGGACAGTTATCCATAGTTTGTTAGTAAAGAACTTAGGAATAAGGTTAGTATTATGCTAAAATTACAATAAAATAAGATAATGTGAAACAAATAAAAAATGAAAAACAAAATAATTACACAATTCAAATCCAAAAAATAAACCACGAATACAACATTAAATATAAAATTATAAAATTGAAAATTACAAAATTGAAAATTAAAAAATTGAAAATTGTAAAATTGAAAATTACAAAATTGAAAATTACAAAATTGAAAATTATAAAATTGAAAATTATACAATTGAAATTAATTTAACATACTCATGTAAACTTAAACTAAACCGCCACATGAAGTTTCATCCAGTGGGCCTGGATGGGGCAATCAATTTTATTAACCACAGTTTTAGAATGCTGTTGGGGCACCCGCGCACACGTCGCCAAAGAGAGGCAACCCGCTTCCTCATAATGGCATGAAAGCCATCTGTGCGTGACTCAGCGAACATGCCTGAACTATGCTTTATATTGCTTGCTAAAGTGGTAATGGAAAAAAACAATAATGTGCAACTAATCTTTTACTTCAGTACCTGCTTTCTTGAATAGGTAAACGAATGAATGCTTATGAACGTTAATAATTCGACTAATATTTCGACTTTCTTTTAAGACTGAAAGTTAGAACATTAGAACGTCGTAACATTCACAATACAGTCATTTTTGGCAAAATTTAATCTTTCACAATCTATCGATAAAATTATCGGCAACAACTACATAACTATTTAAAATTTGTTGAAAACTGGCTACCCGACAGATGTCATTTTACTCCGTCTTCAAAAAAAGACAGACTATAAATAAGCATAAGTACAACATGCAACCATATTGTTATTAAGTAATTTCTACTATGTAAACTTAGGCAATAAAATTTGGATACGCAAAGGGGCACTTTAACCTAAAAGTCGTTTGTTATATGAGTGTAACTGCAGAGGTCCTAGGTTTTCCCGGGAATCGTCCCGGGCCGGGAAAAATATTTGTATGGTCTACATTTATTTTTATTATATTTTAGTTATTATTATTATATTATTGTTTTTGCGAATTTTAAATCATCAAGAAATTGGAGGATGATGTAATTGCCAAAACAGGTGGTTAAAACAGAATTCATGATTGCCACGTGAAATATGGGATTGCATGCTCAAAGATGATGTTTTTGCTAAACATTTTATTATTTGTTGAGATATTTTTTGTGAATTAACTCGACTAGTTTTTATTATGATTATCAATACAAAGATCGAACACATAGAAAAACTTTTTCGAACCTATAGGACTTGAGCCCATCTCTCTCATCATATTTTGGAACAGTATGGACGTGGATTGAAGTCCCATTGGGTCGACGAAGTTTTTCTTTGTGATGGTCTTTGTATTAATAATAATTTTATTATATTTTTATTTTATTAGTCGTAGTGGTAGTTAATAGCTAACATTTATACATTTTAGGCAACAACATCAAGTCGATAGAACATTTGAACCATAACATACATTTGGAACATCTCGATTTGTCAAACAACCAAATATCTTTCATAGCTGATATCTCGTATTTGAAGAATATGAAGGTAATTTATTTTTAGACTTTGTTTCTTTACGTTTTAGTATTACATCGTACACGAAACTAAATACTGTCATAACTCATAACTGGTGGAATTGAGAAAATATGATTTGAAAATTCTATAAATGACTGAATTGTTCTTATTGTGAATAATGGGATTATTTTTATTTAGACATTATATTTAGTTATAAACGAGAATATATATTTTTTCCGATTTCATGAAAGGTGGACGTTAATTCGACTGTATTTTTTTAATGTATGTATGTTTCATTTAAATTTCAAGAATATTCCACCCCTAAGGGTGGCAAAATAGGGGATGAATCCGGTTTCACGCACTTTCCAGTAACCGACTTCAATAAAACTTGACAAATAGATAGTAATTCCACGAACTTTTGAGGTCGCTTTTTTTATAATAAAATTGTAATTTTTTGAACTTTCAAATTGTGTTTCCTCAATCCAATTCGGAATTCGGAAGTATTTGGTTTCTTGTGCGAATTATTAATCTTCTTAGAGTTACAGTATATCCCTGATCGAATGGTCTTTAGCTTGCAATTATACTAACAAACAGCTTTTTAGAGATTGTAAAAACCATAAATTGATTCCTTATTAGATTAACAACTGTAATGATCATTATAATAGGAGAAACTAGAATTTTTAAATTGTTTTTGAATATTTATTTCTTTTGAGTAATACAGCCCCCGTAGCATGACTACGCATGATAGTCGCGACGCGCACAATAAAATTGAAATAAGCGCGCGCTGGCTCAATCAGATTTAATTTAGATAGCCAATAGCGCGCGCTTGTTTAAATTATACCGCGCGTGTCGCGACTATCATGCCTAGCTATGCTACGGGGGCAGTTATTAAAATATGTATATTTTGGAAATAAAATTATCATTTTTTATCTAAATCGACCATAGGACCTATAAATAACCAGATGGTTTGTTTGAAAAAACAAACACGCGATTTAAATCCAGAAAAATAGTTTAATTTCCTATGTGTAACAATCGCGAAAACCTAACAACAATGGTTTTAATCTGTATTTTTTCTTCCAGCATTTAAATCTTGAAAGAAACCGCATAATAGATCTGCGGCAATGTGATCGATATCTACCAACGAATGTAGAACACCTAGGTCTTGCTCATAATAACATTCAAGACCTGAACGAAGTGTGCCACTTGGTACATCTAGGGAAATTAGAGAGTTTCACAATACAGGGAAATCCTTGTGTTGCTATGGCGGGAAAAGATAAATTGTATCCTTTATAAATATTACTTCCTGAAAAAAAAACCGCTCTGCTCTACAGTTAGAGACTTCCGAGATTGAAGTCTGGATAATGAGAAGGTACCTGGGTTGATACATACATGAAATCACGCCTATCTGCCACTAAGGTAGGCATGGGCTATGGACCTCTTTCGCTTCCACTTACGCAAATTTATTAATAAAAGTAAATTAATTTGCTACCCTGCAAACCGTGCAATATATGTATAGCTACGCTTGTGTTGAATATTTTGTCAGGCAGTTAATTTTCCCACCCGCCCTCCGCATGTAATTAGTAAAATAAATAACACAAGCGCAACAGTCACAAATACCACCATCAAAAATGTACCCAACGCCAATCCTATCAAAATAATTTCAAAATAGTCTTGGTACTTGTGATCTGGCGTTAAAAAAGGGACCCATACAAACAAATTGTTAGAAGAACATTTGGTAATTAAACGATTTTTATGTATGGCAATGGCGAAAACATAAGAACTTGATAAGTTATCTTTACTCCAATGGTTCTAGTCTGGGTGACGTCGGCAGTGACTCGTAATTTCTTTATCAGTAAAACAGGGAATTTCTTGGTTTGAAACCTTAAACCTAAATTGTCTTAGGAAATGAAACTATTTTTCCGGATTTAAATCGCGTATATTTGTTTTTTCAAACAATCCGACGTTTCGGGCCCTTTACAGTCTTCTTACAGGTGGGAAGACGGTACCACCTCAGTCAACCGTGACCATGGGCCCGAAACGTCGGTTTGTTTGAAAAAACAAATATACGCGATTTAAATCCGGAAAATAGTTTCATTTCCTATGTGTAACAATCGCGAAAACCTAAGAACTAAATTGTCTTATCCAGCAGAAAATGTCAGCAAGTGCAAGTGGGTTTTATTATGTATATTGTTAGGAATTTGTAAAGTGAGTAATCAGGTCGTCGAGTCACCGTCGTCGGTGTCAACTGACACTTTATGATAAGCATTTGAATAGCTGAGCATTGAGGCTCAGCTTGATTTTAAATTTTTTCCATACTAATACAGTTCATTTTGCTTGGGTCGAGCGGCTGGGACACTGGCTCTAATTCAGAATTATATTTTTTACAATCGAAATTAAGGCCGTTTGATAAAGGTGTATCGTATTGTATACGCGTTCCATTTAGTTCAGTCGATATTAAAAAAACCATTGGTATGTGTGAAGTGCCTATTGAATATAGCGGTTTTCTTGTAAAATTTACGAGGAAGTTTGTTTTTTTTGCTATCGTGTTTTCACACCGTATATCAGTGTATACGCTCAATTTTATTATATATATTTTCTAAGTGATTGATTCAATACTTTATGCGGAATCAACCAAAGCCATTTCAGGATGTATAAACTTAAGTAAATTTAAGAATAAGTGGATAAAAGTTCACTGTGGATTCCGCGTGTCAATCAAGTCTGATCTTCTACAATAGGACTTGAATGCCAGGCTAACTTTTGACACGGCTCCTGGTAAGGGAGTCACCACTATCGACACGCATACGGATTAAGCCGATCAGAAAAAACTTTATGTCCATCACAGACATATATCTAGATGTCCATGTGATAAGAGCGAAAATGCCGTTGTGTGTTTCGCGTCGGCGGTCCGAGCGCAAGGGAAACGCGCTGCGGCTTGCGTGTCGCGTTGAAGGATATAAAGGTTTTTCTGACCGGCTCAAGGCAATTCCGTGTGAATAAGTCATGTTTGTAGACTTCCAGTGTGGTCGTGCAAAGACTTAGTTTGTTTCTTGTCCAATTTCTTTAACAATTTGTAAACAGAGGCTTCGACTACAGACCGTTCGTGCTTAATTGGATTATGAGCGTCAAATCGATCGACGGGTTCGTCGTCAGCGCTATTGAAAGGTAATTAAATGTTTTAGTTTTTCTATGGTATTTAAATCGTAAACATCTTAAAGGGCACTGCCACTGCGCCCTTTGCCCTGAGACATAAGTCGACAAATCCCTTGTACCTGTAATTTCACCTGCACCATTCTTCAAAATCGGTATACAGTAATCTCCCTCGTCACAACGAAAGCATATTAATATTGGTAACTTTCGAGATATTGGCTGTTTCAAGAATATAATATAGTTTTACCGTAATTCTAATATAACAACAGACAAGAAGATCTCAAGTGCCAACTACAAGCGCAACCACATATAAACTCGCAGACTACGCCCGCCCGTATTAGATGTAGTTTATTGTATTAATTTTATTACAGTTTTACTTTAGGTATTTTTATTATTAGCCCACTTGTGTCTTTTGTCCCACTGCTCTTGGTTTTGGGCAACATTTGGCCACTCCTTTAAAAAGGAGTCGAAGTCATCCCACCATCGCCGACGTGACCTAACGCGTCTTCTTTTCGAATTGTGGGGCTTCCACTCTGGTCACCCAGTAGGCTGCGCTCTATAGTTCGAAGGAAAATGAAAATGTATTACTTACACGTATGGTTATTTGTATTTTACTAATAAAGCGTGCTTAATTTGTGTTTTAATATATTCTTTGTGTTTATATATTTATTTGAAAAATAAAATGGGACTTAAATTGCGTTACTCAATTTTTGAATTCTTGTAGTTTTTCAAAGTTTTTTAAATGTGCTTAGGGATTGTGTGTCTTTAATAAACGCATTTACAATCTTAAAGAGAAACAAAGCAGTAGACCATCTAATTCTCCTTCACATTAAATAAATTTCTCTAGAAATACATACATAATGCAAAATAATGTCTTATGTATAATACATTGTATTCTACCCATGCAGAACGAAACAACAGTGTCATATATTACTTACAAGTCATTACATATTCATGATTTCAATAGCTGGATTGCTTATCTGTTATTAATTACTCTCGGGAACTTAATTTTAATTACATGCGTATTATTTTACAATAACGGGCTTCACCACTTGTGTTGCGGCGGAATCGGTTTAAGCCGGACAAAAAAAGTTTTATGTTCATGCAAAAGAGCGAGAAATTAAGACTTTATAGACTTTCCTATAATATTATGTGGTACAAACAGTACAATTCCTATTAATTTTGTGTCTTATTTTACGTACTTTAAAGTCTTTTTTTTAAATTAATCAAGAGTGTACTTATTATTTGCTACATCCCAACGGGGTATGATCGTGCTTAGTTAATTACCTCTATAACGCCTGTACTAACATTGTTTGCAATAAATAAAAGTTTCGCTTTCGCTCAGACCACCAGTCAATGTCAAAGAGTCATTTATTCCATAGGTAAAATAAATTTACACTTGAAAACGTCACATTTACGCTACTGCTCGTTCACTGCGCTGACTTCCTTGAGAAGAACGCGCACGAAATTAGGGATTCCTCTTTTCAAATAAACTTAAATGATATGGAATACACTTTAAATCAAACTTGTGTGGAATCTAGACACTTCACGTCTTTATCTAACACGTAGTCTTCAATTTAGTAATATGACTTTTCAATCAAAATATTTTTAATGTAGTTTTTAAACTTAGGAAATGATAATCTTATATATGCTCCGAGATCTTATTGTAAAAATGTATATAGTACGCCGACGAGAGATGCACTACGTCTTTTTTGCTCTTATTACATGGACATAAAGATTTTTCCTACTGGCTTAATGTGATTTCGTGTCGATCAGTGTAGTGACTTCCGAAGAATAAAATGAAGGCTGGTTGGGAGAGTGAGGCCGTTATGAGCAGGCGCATGAATATAATCAGGAAAGCGGTGGTAGCTTAGGGTGGCCATACACGGACCGCTCGAGCAGTTAGCCAGTGATCAACATACACGGACCGCTCTTGCAGTCATAGTCAACAGCTTGAGGCTGCCATTGATTGACTGCTTGAGTAGTTGATACCAACTGCAGCAGTTGGTATCAAAATCAAAAATAATCATTTATTCCATAGGTCAAATTTTTACACCTGAAAACGTCATTTTTACACTTAGAAACGTCATTTTTAAGCTACTTTTTAGGCTACTGCTCGTTCACTATGCTGACCTCCCTGAGAAGAACGATCAAGAAACTCTAGGGATTGCTCTTTTCAAATAAACTTAAATGCTATGGAATACACTTTGAATCATAATTGTGTGGAATCTAGACCCTTGTTGTCTTTCCATACTTCTTTCATATCAACTGCTCCAGCAGTTATACTATAGTTATGACGAACGACGACGACGACGACGGTGGCGTAGAAATAAAAAATTGTGGGTTCATCTCCAATATTGGAATTACGAAATTATCATGGAGAGTTTTATCACTTGTTTTTGGAACTCAGACTTAATTGCACTGATTAGCGCGTCACAATCTACGTTGTCCATTTTGCTCAATAAACAAAACAAGAAGCGAGCGGACCGGAGGCGCGCGTGACGTGAAGAGCACGGGCGGAGGTAACTGCGCAAGAGCAGTCGACAGTACGAGCAATCGGCTGGCGACTGCTTGACCGCACGATGAAATTTCATCGCGCTGCAAATCGCCCGAAGCTGTCGCAACTGCTCGAGCGGTTTCGTGTATGTGTGTACATAGAAGACTGTAGTTTGCATGCAGTCGCAGCTTGAAGCAGTCGATACTAGCTGCTTCAAGTTCCCCGTGTATGGTCGGTCGTGGGAGAACGGTTTCCTTTCTAATGAAAGATCGACGGTTTGGATCCTGTGATTCCTTGGTTCCTATGGTTTTAATTTCTAAGCAACGCCACTGCATCCGTCACCCTGAGACATAAGTTCATAGGAACCATGTGCCTGTAAAGCCCATATGACTTGTCTCTCACTGCATCGCTATGCGTGGGCGTATCACCAGGCGCAGGATTTTCTCGTCCCGTCGTCACTTGATATCATAAAAAAAAACTTTTTACAATGACCATTTATGTTTACCTCTTATGAAAATTTGTTAACATATCATTACCCCTTGCATAATCTAATTTCTCTTCCAGCTTAAAAGCAGAATGGTTGTACAGTCAAGGCAAAGGGCGACATTTCCACGCAGGGCAACACCAAGAGCTATGCGAGTATCTTGCCTCCACTTGCCCCCTTACTGCTGATGCGCTGGAGACCGAGGACCAGAGAAAACTTAGATTGATACTAAGTAAGGCACAGCAGCATCAGCAGCAGTTAAAGGACATGCATATTCCACATCGGCCGAAGTTGCAGTCGCCTAGGATGCAGTGTAAGTACCTTTTTTTTATAAAAATGAAGTGCGCATTTGACCTCGATCTTACCTTACGGGGATTTACGTTGAGGTAAACAATGTAGCATGCTTGTGCACGCTACATTGTTGACTTCAACGTCTGTTCAGTTGTCTGAATAATGCCTATTCACTCTCGTCTTGAAGAGGTCCAAGTTATAGCGTTCGGGGAATAAGTCTGCAGGTAGTGAATTCCATTCTTTAGCCTTTCGCCATGTAAAAAAAAGCCACCTAGAGAAATAACGAGATTCAAAAACATTTCACAACAACAAAAAACTTTAATGACTCCATCGTTTTCGTTCAGAACTTCAACTTTTGACAGGTGCCCAACGTCAAATGAAAATTGAAGGAAAAATGTTGGAAAAAAATTCGGCATAATATTTATTTTTCTGAAAAATATGATATTTCGATGGAGTCATAGCATTTAAAAGAAGATTTTTTCAAAATGGAAATATTTCCATGACCCAACACGAATTACGCATAATACAGTATTAAAGTTAGTACCAATATTTTCGTGTTAAGACAGACGAAGTCTAACTTTTTTCTATAGTAGATACGACAAAACTGCATCCAATACCCAGTTACAATGCATGTCAATATAATCGTATTTATTAAATTTTTTTTTACTTCTCATGCTCTTAAGTTCGTATTTATTCTGGGTGTAGGCTGCATAAAATAGGATTGTATGCTCTAGTGCACAAAATAAAGAAACAATCACGTTAAATATGTCTAATTGTTGTAATTTTACATTCAATCTTAATTAAATAATCGTTTATTTGTAATATTGCTGTTTCATTTCCTCGCAATCGAAGTGAAAAGCAACTTGTTCAGAAAACCCATTTTACCCTCGACTTATACTTGTCTCGGGTAAAATGACGCGTTTTATACACTTGTTGTACAATCTACTATTGTTAACAGCCCGAATTGCATCTCGGCACATGGGGCGTTCCCCAGACCGGCTCACATCGAGCTACCACTCATCACTGTCCAAGACCAATTCGCCGTCTCATCAGATGTCAACCTCATGCTCTGGAGAACTGCCCGGCATTCCGCAGGTCATGAGTCAGAGCTTCGACTCGCCTGGTCTTATGTATTCACCTGAGAGGAAAGACAGTCTCAAGGAGAAAGAGAAAGTACAACCTCAAGGTAAAATTAATTGATTAGTTATTACAAGAACGAACTTACAATTTAGTGCCCCCCAGTGGCGTAACGTGGGGGGTGCAAAGAGAGCCATGGCCCCGGGCGGCACTGCAATGGGGCGGTGGTAACTAGTCAAAATACTTTTTTTTTACCTAAAGTTTGAAAATAAAGTCCTATCCTAGTTAGTATCTAGCTAGCCGAGTCTGTCCGAACATTCTACTTTCAAATTTGTATTGAAATGATATTTAATTATTTTTGTGAAATTACTCCACCAGTTTGTTATAATTGTTAATCCAAAGATCGAATACTTAGAAAAAATTCATTCGAACCGACGTCTTCTAGCAAACCATTTTGTCGGATCTTTGTAATTGGTTTTCAACCACTTTTTAGCCATTCCGTGTGTTAGTCGGCATAGCGTCTGGCACGGTTTGCAAGAAGACTTCCGGTTCGAATCCGGCCGAACCGAAGAAATTTTTTCCAAGTGTTCGATCTTTGTATCGAAGAAATCGGCGCTACGCAACTGGTGCCACTCTATATTTTTTCATTTAACATTCGATCTTATATTGTTGATATACTATTGTCCGCTAACTAATACGCGGCTATGTGTGTTTTTTGAGATATAATAGAAAACCAAAACTCAGTTTGAGAATATTGAAATATTTTAATGATTTACAGCCATATGCATCATTAGGGTAAGTTTCGATATGTCTGTTTTTAAATAGAGAATTTTGAGCTCTATCTAATGCTATTTGAAACGGATATTTGACCACAAATCACTTAGCCGTGTATTAATTAATGGACCACCCATTTACAAGAAGCATTTTGCTTTCCAAAATACGTATAGAAAATGGAATGTTATATAGTACCCTACATCAGTCAGCATTGTGAGTTGTCGTGCACACACCCGTAAAAGTTTCTGAAATATTAAATCCCACTGCTAGCACGCGACTCCTATAAGGACACAGTTAAGGCCAAGTGCAACCATGCTGGCCAAATGCCCACGGTTATCTGAACATTTTTTCAAATTCAAATATTTCGGATTTTTTTTTAATATAATATCAAGTGACGGGATGAACAAGTAGTGCGCCTGATGGTAAGCTACACGCCTGTCTAGAACAGTTGCGGTGCAACTCAGAGCTTTAAATCGCGAGGATCTGAGGGGCACAGCCACCCTGAGACATAAGTTGACAATACCCATGTGCTTGTAAATTCACCATCACTCTTACTCTTCCAAAACCGGAACGCAGCAATCTAACATTTCACAATCCATCCATGTTGGTTAGTAACAACAAAGACCTACTCACTAATGTTAGTAATTACACCCTATAAATATGTACTAGGTTTAGAGTACACATGAAGTTTTGTCCAGTGCTCAAGGAATGAACCCTTGCCAGCAATGATACTCATGATGCCGTTACCGCTGCCACGCAGTCTGCACATCAAAGATGCCGCTCCATTTATCATGATTGTTTTAATTTGAAACAATGTTTTTTTACAGAACAAACACCGCCAAAACCAGTGCACCAATCGTTGGAGGCCGCGTCAAAAATGGTGCCAGTACCGGAATCACTGATGAGTCCAGACTATCAAGACCCCATGTACGACATCCAAAGATCGATACCAAAGCCGGCGAATAGTGTTTCTTCGCAATCCAGCAATAGTAGTGTACAGGAAGAGAAAAGAACCAGTAGTACCTCTGTTAGGTAAATATATTTAGACCACGTCCAACCATTTATTTTACTTTTGACAGATCTAGTACTAATCAATTAGTGATGTCCTAATGCGATACCGATTCGCTCTCATTACACCAACGACTTTATCTGTGAATAAGTTTTAATCGTTATGAGCCTGATTGGGATCGTGATGTTGCGTTTGACAATTAGTGTACTCAAGGATTAATAATATTATATTACTGAGGACTCAATTGATGACTCCAGTTCATTATGGAGGAGAATGCGATGATTCATTATAACAAACAATTAGAATAAAGAGAATAAATTCTTTATTTATTTTCATTATAATTTATTAGACTGGTACAAAACCTATAAACTTCAATAATCTTGGTTACCTAATCTATCGGCTCGACAAATATCGGAGCTGAACAGCATGTCGCTTCGCAATAGTAAAAAAAAACAACGTTCATGAAGTACTGCGTTTGGTTTGGTCTGTGGTTGCCTGTCAATAATTATGAAACTTCGTAGTACAATAAATGGTTAGAGGGAGTATAAAATTATGGAGATAGCCGAAAGTTAGTTTTGAACCTATTCAGTAGCCGTAGAGCTTGTTGTGAAAGAGTTCGTCGAGTGAAGTACTCCCACCATATTTATTTCTGCCGCCAGCAGTAATGTGACAGTTACTGCTTACTATTTGATAGTTGCAGTGATGAAGGGGCGCATACACCCTGAATAAATGAATGAATGAAATATTCTTTATTTCAAATTATAAATTACAATGACAAAACAGAACAGTAATGTAAGTATCACAGAGTAAGATAATGTACAACAGGCGGCCTTATTGTTAAATAGCAATTTCTTCCAGTAAACCTTAGGATAGAAATTTAACAGTTGGAATGGGGGGTGCAAACAAAGAATATCTTGTAATGAAAGTGGTTATAAATAAATACACTACTCATCAATAAAGTAAATATATAAACAATAATATCAAATACATACATTATTAGAATAAATACACAAAAATAATAATATTTTACTCGTATACAATATATAATGAGAATAATTAAATACTTTTATAGGAAAATAAAACAAATAGCAATAATAATAAGATAACTATACAAAAGAGATTATAACACTATGTAAAAATAATAATAATAATAATGACGCAGACACTCAACATAGCCCCGCACTAGGGAAACCCTGTGTCGCGGGTGCCATGGACACACTCATAGACAACCACAAATTACACCCAAACTCACGAGAGAAATAAATGTAAGCCATACAAACATTTCTCCCGGCCCGGGAATCGAACCTGGGACCTCTGTGTGGCAATGGTAACCGTTCGGCCACGTAGGCAGTTATGTAAAAGAAAATAAAATGAAGGAATGGAGATTAAAAAAAAGGACTTAGTAGTTAAGGAATAACACGACGTTTGAAGCAATTGTGATAAATAACCCTAATAATAATACATCTTTCTCTGCTATTATCATAAAAGATGGTGTAGTTCGTCAAAGAAATTGTTCCTGAAATTTCTTCAAACTGACAAGAGTACAAATGCAACAAATCAACTTGAAAAATCAAATTTTGCGAACTATGAGAGTCACCAAACTTATCGACACGGAATCGTATTAAGTTCAGAAAAAGCTTTTAAACAAGGAATCTGATTCCTGCAAATTTTCGATCGCGGCCATTGTTTGCCGAAGACAGCTCCGTCGACGTCCGACCGATGGCGTCAACACTCGATCGATAGCGGTAACGCCCGAAAGAGGCAAAAGTCACGTTTCATACCATCCGAGACGAGCAGCGTCGACACACGAACGGCGGCCTCCACGGCGATCTGAGGCGATAATCCTCAAGCTGATTTCGCGTCGACAAGTGCGGTGGCTCCCTTCATTGTATAGTATATTTACATAACACTTATAATACAACAAGTTAAAATATGTTTTTATTGTTGTAACCCTCAACAGTTCTATAGGAAAGAGGATTGGCTCACCAAAGTTGACGAAGAGCGCAACGTCGTCACCCAAACTGCGAACACGTACGGAACGAAAGAACAGCGTATCGAGTGTTAGAAACGAAGCAAAACAAATGAACGGTATTTCTATAACTGAAGAAAAGGAGAAAATTAATTCCGAGAAAAACGAAATCATGAAACTTGCCTCAAACCAAAGGCGGCAGAAGAAGACAAGTGTTGAGTCTATGGCAGCTGTTACGATACAGAAGATGTGGAGAGGTTATAGAAGTCGGAACCTTAACAAGGACACATTGAGAATACTACACGCTATTCAGGCAGCTAGAGCTAGGCAGCATATACAGTAAGTATCTCATATCGTTTAAAAAAACAAATATACGCGATTTAAATCTGGAAAAGAACAGAATAGAATCATTTATTTCGGACCATGACCCATAGCAATATTAGTAATACAGTAAGTTTTCCTTACGGTGCTATGGTTAGTACAATACAAAATTACTTAATTCTAGTGAAATGCCACGTCTACACCACTACCATACGCACGTGTAGTTGAATAATAATGTAGTTGAAAAATAGTTTAATTTCCTATATGTAACAATCGCGAAAACTTAAGAACTCGATAAGAAGATGATTTCTCCAACGTTGAGACAATTTCTTCTTGGCTTTTCTGACAACATGAACTTGAGAGTCAAGTTCCAGCTAAAGAAGACTTAAGTATATAATAAGATCAATGCTTATAAGTGTCGCAATTATTGTAACTTTCCTTCCTAATTATCTCAACGTTGAACAAATCATCGCAAGTGCAAACGATGCTTAAAATAAAATGTCAAAATGTAAGTCGTGTTACGTTCAAAAACAAATATTTCCAAAACATTTAGGTATTTTTAAACATTCATGTCTTTTTTATCAAACTTATTTCAAAATTTTATTAATGAAATTTATATTATTTTATGTCGATTAGATGTATATAAATTTTGCCCTGATCGCGACTACAAAATTTGCGAGCTTACCGTTTGCTAATGCAGAAGGTAATGAGAACGTTAATTTAGTTTTTTACATTTAGTTTAGTATAAGACGAAGTAATGTAATAACATATATTACGACTTCATCATCATTTTCCCTTCATTTTCACTTTAACCACTGCTGGGTATAGGTCCTCCGTAGATCTTGCGCTAGTTTCACCCATCTAGCATAATATGCTATAAGGCCTGCATCTGTGTCGCTGTCGTTTACGTATTATTTTTTTTTTAATATAATGATTTATTAATCTTAGGAGACTGACATGCGACATGGAAGCTACCAAAGCAGCGCTGGAGAGTGAAAGAAAGATACAGCAATTACAAATGCAAGCTATAAACGCATTATGGAAAAAGGTGTCCACTTTACAAACCACTGGTAAGTGTCTAATGCGTGTCTAGTTTTGTAACCTGATAACATTAACTACAATATCTTATTAACCGACCTCGAAAAAGGAGAAGGTTCTCAATTCGGCTGTATTTTTTTTTGTATGTATTTTACGCGATTACTCCGGTATTTTAATAATTATTTTTTATTTATTAGTAAGAGGGTACCTCAATATTAGTCCCATTTATATTTGAAGAAAATAATCCACCTCTATGGGTAGCAAACAGAGCACGAATCCGGTAACCAATTTCAATAAAACTTGGCAAATAGATAGAAGATTTTTGATGTCGTTTTTTTTATAAACAGGTTGTAATGTGCGTTTAAGTTACGGGATTACCCCGACATTTTGTGAACCGATTTTGATTTTTTTTTTTGTTGGAAAAGGGATACCTCTGCTGTGGTCTCTTTCAAATTTGAAGAAAATATTGTACCTCTAAGGGTATTAATCAGGGCATGTATCCGGTTTATTTATTGGCTTATTGATTAGTAGCAGTAGAGCTCCTTGTTAAAGAGTTCGTCCAGAGAAGTACTGCCATTTTACCTATTTCTGCCGCCAAGCAATGTCAGCATTATTGTGTTCCGGTTTTGAAGGGTAAGGGTGCTGGTGAAATTACAGGTACTTGCGACTTGTCAACTTATGTCTCAGGGTGACCGGCGCAGTGGCAGTGCCCCTCAGATCTTTGCGATTTAAAGCTCTGAGTGGCACTGCAACTGTTATGGACAGGCATGTAGCTTATCATCAGGCGCACGACGTATTCGTTCCGTCCCTTGATATTATAAAACCGTGACCATTACTGCTTGGCGGTAGAAATAGGTATGGTGGCAGTACCTACTTCCCTGGATGAACTCTTTCACATGGACCTCTACTGCTACTAAAATGGCAGACAGGTGAGAGGAACTCCTCAACAGTGTATGGCAGTTACCTTGCGTTTCGGCTCGTAATGGTTAGTTTTTAACGAGGTCTTCCATATGCGTTTCAGTTATCTTGAGGAGGCCGCGATGAGCGGATAAACAAACTTTATAAGTCGGTTTATTTTAATAAAAAAGTTATTGCAATCTATTTATTCATCTTCTGTCTTACTCTATTACTTGTGAGACACATAAGAATGTGTTTTTGCCCTTACACTTTATTAATGGCGATCGCAGATATCGTGCATCTTTCATTATTTGCTCACCAATTGCCATTTTTGTCTTGACGCAGTAAATATAACGATTTTTTGTGTCACTGTTGTTTAGTGTATACCGTCGATACAATAAGAACTAAATATAGTATAAAAAAAACTCCAACAATGCAATGGAAATAATTTCCTTTTAAATATTTGTGTTGCTTTCAGAAACACAAAAGAAATGCTCGAACACATCAGATGAAAACACAGAAGTGTTAAGACAAATAACGGAAACGTGTATCAGCTTACAAGCACAGGTATGTTCATTATGCATTGTTTTCATTAATGGAAATATCATGTAGTGTCTGCGTTCGTGCCTGCATCCAATCTAATTGTTAATTGTTCTTCAAGTCTTTGCAAGCAGTTGATTTCCTCGAATTTAACAGCACGTAGTATTAATATCCAAAGGCCCCATGTACATCAAAATGTACATAATAAAATTATGTGAAATGATTCAGACCCAGACAGTGGAAATGTCGCATTCAAATCAGTGCTATGGGCGGTGTTCACGCTTAGTTTGTTGTACTAACTTAATATCTGTTTGCTTATTTTATAAAAAAGAATTCTTTCAGTTAATTTTCGGTAAAATGTAGTGATCAATTAGGTTTAGTTAGCTGTTTTAATTACGGTAAACATTGATTCGCAATCACCTGATCAAAAGGTCATGAACAAAGACACAGCACAAACTCTCGACAACATGCTAATTTTTGCATAGCCAATGGTGGTAGACATTTATTGTAATTCCTTCGTGTAGGTAACCTAAAATTGATAAGTAACAAATTTAAATTACAAGAAACAAACGTTTTCAGTCAATTTTCGTAATTATGCCCGCGCGCCGTTGCACATTTTTTTATAGATAATTTTGCAAAACTTTGTAGATACAATTAATCTGAATATTGAACAGAATATTTTTTTTATATTTCTAGATCTAAGTTTTTATTAAATTTATTTCATGACCTGGATACACAGTCCTTCAGTGGAAAACATTATAACTATAGCAACAACAAAAAATAGATGATCTAGTTTTGTCGTGGTGTTGCTAGGGCTCTCGAGTCGAAAATTACAAAAGTTACAATTTTTATTTTAAATTTTAATTAAAAATTCCAACTGTCAAACGTATTATATACGCCTAAATCCTAAAAGTAAAGTAAGTACGCTCAAGAAAAATCAGGCTATAACCAGTAATTGATTGATTTCATCTTATTTGCACCATAATATCTAAGTTACATTTTTTGTGTAATTTGGGTGCGTTCGTAAACTATTTAGGATTTGTAATAACAAATATAGTTGGATCCCCTCCAAAGCTACGAAAATTGCATTAAAAACTAAAATATTTCACGTATTACGCGAGAAGATCAAAAGTTAAGAAAAATGTAAGAAATATAGAAATATGTGATTACATATCTGGCAACACTACACAACATTCATTCGCTAATCATTGTTATATTGTATGCAAAACTACAAAATAGCAGAATAATAGGTTTTCTGACAACAGTTTGCGATGACAGTTGGTGAAAAATCGTTCAACGGTATAATTAACTGCCTCCGTTGCCGAACGGTTATCATACCACACTGCCCCGCAGAGGTTCCAGTTTCGATTCCCGGGCCAGGAGAAGTATTTGTAGGGCCTACATTTATTTATCTCGTGACTTTGGGTGTAATTTGTGGTTATCTATGTGTGTGTCCATGGCACCCGCGACCCAGGGCTTCCTAGTGCGGGGCTGTGTTGAGTGTGTGCGTAATTATTATTAATTAATTACTGACAAACAGTCGTTTTTGCCATGTCTTGTCGAAACATACACTTACCGGCCTCTGCGCACGCTTTCCCACGCGGTTCGCACCCCCGCCCCCGCTTGTTGAAGCGCCGGCCACCCCTTACCGCCCGGTTAGTTCGCTTGCGCTCTTATGTTAGACGAGACCTCGCGGTCGTCGCTTATTTGTTTTGCGTGGTATATCAGTGTATTCACCTGTGTAGTTTAGTGGAATGCAGTGACGTTCATGACGATATCTTATCACTACACAAATGAGGAATATACGTTACGGTATGTTATGCAAATGATGTTGTTGAGAAATGTTACTTAGTGGGCGAATTCCATTCTACTCATTGATATTAGGATTCAATTTTGTTTGTATTAAGCTAGGATCAAAGTACGAAGGGAAAATGGAATTATTTTTGATATTACTGTATAAGTAGGAAAGCTTGACACGCTCGTGGCGCTGCGCGGGAGTTGTATTTCCTGCCACTCAGCTGTTTCGTAGAGTAGCCTAAATGAAAAGTGATTAATATTTTGTGCATTTTAATGTACCATTGGGCGTTTAGCGCTTTTCCCAATGCAGTTTGATGGGTCTTTGAAAGATAACTCAAACGCCTACTTAATTTATTGGTCATTTTTTGTTTTTAATGTAAACAGACTTATTTTATTTATTAAATAATAGGCTCCCCGAATTTTGTGAAAAAAAAGAAATAAAATTTTGACTATATAGGAAGAAAGAAATTGTTAATATTTATTAAGTAACGTAAATTAACTGTGATATAATAAATAACTAGTGGTTTTTCGTTTAGTGATACGTGCCCACCTATTTTTGATTCAATTATAAATTAATCAAATAAAGTAAAAGAAAAAAAGAGAATCAAAGTTGCTGCAAAATGAAAGTTGATTGTATCAATTTTATTTTAACTACTTCGAGTGCATTATATATTACCACGTGTAATAAGACAAATAGGTGTGTCTTTATCTATTGAGCGTTTTTTTACTCCCATTCTACAAAATCAACGGAAAAATTTATTAAGCTGAAGGAAGTCAATAGTATGAAAGTTGATTGTATTAATTATTATTCTAGTTTGTACTCGAAGTTGAATGTTTGATTGTATTTAATGTTTTTTTAAATCACATTCTACAATACCAACGGAAAGACACGTGGTTTACCTAACCTGGGAATTCAACATCACGTGATTGTATTCTTTATAGGTGGTAGACCTGCAAGGCTGCATGCAGGAGGTACTAAAAGCAGTATCGGGTAAACATCATTCGGAGCCCGTCGCTACACAGACCGACATCGTGGCTGTCATCACGCCACAGGTATAGTATTTTTCTCGGTATATCCATTTTGTAAAGAGGTCAAGGCAATGGCTATGAACCGTGAGGAGTGGGGAGGCTACACCGACAAGAATCTGGCTCTTAAATAAGATGATGATGATGATATCCATTTCATATAGACCTTATGACCTCCTCGACGACCCCCACTTTCTTTTGCTACCGCACAAAGTTATCATCCTTTAAAGAGGTTTATTTGAATATTTTTAATTTTGTTTGATAGTATCTGATGAATTGTTAAAAGTCATCGAACAAAAGTTGTTTATGATGTTTGTTGTATTTATAATATCAAGTGAGGAGACGAACAAGATGTGCGCCTGATGGTAAGCTACACACCTGTCCATAACAGTTGCAGTGCTACTCAGAGCTTTATATCGCAAAGATATGAGGGGCACTGCCACTGCGCCCGTCACCCTTAGACATATGTTGATAAGTCCCATGTGCATGCAATTTCAACAGCACCCTTAAGAGGGAGCAGAGGAAAAATTCCTAATCTTCGATTTGATTTTAGAGGGGTATATTCAGCTTAGAGTTAAAAATAAAATATTGTATGAGTAACTACACGATATATTCAAGCATAGACACTAATCAGAAACAAAACAATAAAGTTTCCTCGATAGATAAAAATCACGAAATGACCTCTAATTTTCAAATTTTTTCGATTCATCCTCGAAATGCTACAGGTTATTGGGACAAAAATTAGATAATTAATTATATTTATGCATCATCGAGAACTGTCACTACGGATTTTTTTAAATCCCTTTAGTTTTAGAGTTATTCCGCTAAAACGAATTTGGTACTTTTAATGCGCAAAATTCAACATCTCCTGTCGCATGTCACGCGAACCTCAGGCATATATTTGTTTCACAAATTTAGGCGGAGCCAACGTTACTGCTTGGTGGCTGAGATAGGTAAGGTGGCTGTACTACTCTGAACGAACTCTTTCACAAGTCGTTCTGCTGATACTAAGACGTTAGTAATATTGTTCTACGAGGTTCTTAGTATACACAAATATACACGGATAAATATACACGATAGTAGAAATATACACTATAGATAGAGTATAGAAATATATACACGATTATTTGTAAAAACAAATAGTCGTGTATATTTCTATTTGCTAACCTTTACTAACATTTGAAGCAGGAGGAGCGGTGTACATGGCTGAAGCGGCCACAGTCACTACCGCTAGAGGTGTCCGCTGCGCCGGCGACCGTGCCCGTTCCCGTACCCGCTGTGTCCACCCCGCAGCCCCCCGACGACGACGATCAACACCACGACCTGTAAGTTAATTACTTCTCTGCAAAAATACGGTGCAATATTATATTGTTAGTCTATTTCAGTTACAATTGCTAAAATGGAATTGATGCGAACTTTTTTGTTAATATTTGAAAATACCAACCATAAATGCAAATTTTTTAGGGAAACTCCAAACAAGCTCGACGCTCTTGATATAGAGTGTACAGAGTCGGTCATAGAGGACACCACGATCACCGAAAGCCTGGGCACGGAGACCGAACGAGACCAAAGCATCATCACTGACTGATGATAAAATAATTCTGTGAAATTATTGTACAGTTGACGACAAATATTTTGATTACACTCAAGTCTATAGGGTGTGAATGTCGCTATGAAGAGGTGCACTTTAGTTGAAACTTCTAAAGACTTTTTTACTTCAACGGATAACTATTACTTCATTCGAGCAAGGAAGAAGTTGAAGTAAATTCAGACAGGCCAATCCTATGATGTTATAGTTTGTTCCGATCCATTTTAAACGAAATGTAAACAAAACGCTTTGGTTGTATTTCTAAAGCAATCATCGAATAAGCAACACTTTCACGTGTATTTCGAAGATTTTGACTTGATAGCTCATCACTTTTTCCAACAATATTCATTTGAATAACGTCGTAAAATCGTATTTGAAAAATGGTAGTAAAAAAGTGAGGTTATTTTTAATTAAAGATGTATGAATAGTCTATGGTTGCATAGTGCTGTACGGGAAAAACATTCAGTTCATTCAATTAAAGTTTTTCTAATCGATTAGTAAATCCAAAATTTCAATCGCAATTGAACGAGTATCTAAGTGTAAGGGGTTTGAAGGAGGATTTAAAATTAAGATTTCGGAAATTTTAAATATGCTTTTATAGGTTATTTAATGAAAACCGCTAGTATGACTATATTAAACAAATCGATTTATTCAATTAATTAATTAATTTATAGTTGGCAGTAAAATTGGCCATCACTAAAACGTCTATGGTCGGGTCAGTGACTTTTTTGTTTACTTTTTGTTTAAAATGGATTCAAATGAAGTATAGCGTACTTAGAATGATTGGCCATAATACAGCTGCAATACGGTTGCATCGCGCGCAAGTGGAACTCCACTGTTTGTCAAGTGACCACGTTGTTCACTGTACTTGAAGACATTTTCAAACTTTATAGACGTAAGATATACGTTGGTGGTAGCTTGGACACGTACGGTAGAAACGTGAAATGTATTCTTATTGTTACGATTGAACTTTATGTGTCGTTCTATTATTAAGTTTCTTGAACATCCCGTTGTCTTACTACTGTGAGTTTCAATTTTTTTTTAAATTACTCCACTACTTTGTTATAATTATTAATATATAGAGCGGACACTAAGAAAAATTCAAATGATCTAAAACGTCAAATAATTTCTTTTTAGTTCACACTATACTTAGGGCCGCAACTTGATGGAAAAAAATTGTTGCTGATGGAAATTAGATCAAATGTTTTTTACAGTCTGAATTTTATGTACTAATGTGATTTAAGCTCTTTCTGAGAGATCTCTTAAAATAATGTTATAAATGAAAGGTTATTTTTAATTCACAATTTTATTACATATTATTACCGTCTTAAATCTAATTTGATTCTTACCAGTCAAGATGGCGCAATGCGAGTTATCGGTCAGGAAATCGACTGAACTGGCAATCGGTACTCTCTCAGTTCTGATAACTTTACAGGTGATTTATTATTAAATGAAAATACGTAGTTTATAAATATTTTTATTACACTAGATGCTATATAAATGACGCAAACAATTTTTTTCTTCACCCGTGAAGTTGTCGAAATTGAGACAGTACCGGTTGCCGTTCACAGTCGACGTGTAACGTCATGCCCAGTCCTCTATGGCGTCCAAGGCATTAACGCAGCCCAAGTTTATTTTGAACTAAACACGCGTAACTGTAGCGCTGACAACTGTTATTTATTCCTTGAATTTCAAAGTGAGAAAGATCGCTGGTAACTAGTCGCTTTTCTTCGAGAAATTAATCATATTTAAATTAAATATTCGGCAAAAGCTTATTAAGCGATTGTCACTAGTAGAGATAACTTACCACGGCACAGTAGCCCGTGCTCAGCTAGGGTCTTGTATTGTGGGCAGCTCAACAGTTTTAAAAAGAGCGTGTGTGGTTGAATGATAGCTGCAAACCGTTGTTCAAAAGGCTACACATTACTTTTGCCATGCACGTTACGAACATCATCTCATATAAGGATAACTGCTTCGACATATGTGTAATTATTTTCAATAAATTACCAATTTCAATTAAATAGTAATGATGAGAGAGTGATGCATTATATTAATAGCTCCGATGTATAGGGAGAAAAATGTAAAACTACACGAAGGACGTAGTGACAATCGTTTAATAACCACGAAAGTGTAATAATCCATCAATGATAATTAGTATTACAATTATGTAACTTAGCTCTCTTATAAGTTCATCATTATAGGCAACAAAATATGCGAAAGTAAGATAGAAAGGAATGTGCGTGTCCATTAATTAGGAATGCTTGAAGCAAAGCTTGGGATTGTAAAGTAGCTTGGTAAGATATAAGTTTGAATAGTGTTCTTTATTTTTATATGCTTTTGAAATAACTAAACGTATTGATATATAGGCATCGTGATACATTGTAATCTCCACATATAGAACCTTTGGAAAATTGGTGTATATTATTCAATGTTGGGCAAAGTGTAATTGAAACTACAAAACTACATTACGATTATGTAGTCAGTAGTTTGTTATTCAACTAAGTATTAGCTAGCAAATTATTTAGGTAGATAGATGTAATCGTTAACGTTCATGGACGACATTGCTTATTTTCTAAAACCGTCTAAAACAATCGGAAATAATAATATAACATTTTTATAATAAAACAAATATAATATTATTATATTAGTTTTTTCAAAAAAGCCGTGACCGTGGGACCTGGGTTTCTACAAAATTAAACGACGCATGATGGGAATGAAGCTTCATACTTGACATTGTTTTTTAATTTGGTCGTAAACTTTCGGTCTTAAACTTATTTGACAGTAAATGTTTCGGACGGACGTCAGACGGAGTACGGGAATAGACCCTCTCTAAAGGGCCCAAAACGTTGGTTTGTTCGATTCTATTCGATCCAATATACGCGATATAGATTTTTTTTTAAATTTCATTTCTTAATTGTAACAATCTACAACGTCTAAGAACTTGACATCTAAAACATTTAGGAAATGAAACTATTTTTCCGGATTTAAATCGCGTATATTTGTTTTTTCAAACAAACCGACGTTTCGGGTCCTTTACAGATTCCATGATCACGGTCGACTGGGACCTGTAAAGGGCCCAAAACGTCGGTTTGTTTGTAAAAACAAATATACGCGATTTAAATCCGGAAAAATAGTTTCATTTCCTATGTGTAACAATCGCGAAAACCTAAGAACTCGATATCTAAAACATTGTTTTAAATTGTCTAATAAAAAAGGAAACAAGAAACTTTAAATTGTAATAAATTAAAAAAGGTTTTATTTTAAAGGTCACAGTGATGAAAGCGCTCTCAGTGAAAGTTTCATGAAGGAATTTAATATTTAACTTGTGTAGTCTACAGTCAAAAATTTATCTCATAATTGAGCAAAAATGAGTTTAATTACTTATTACTATTCATTTTTATTTACAATTACATTCTGCCCAACTTTCACGGTGTCACCACACTTATTATCGTGAAATTAGCTTGGTTAAGTTATAAAAAAATTATGTCCATGTAACAAGCGCGAAAAAGACGTTAAAGAAGTTTCCCTTCCGCTCTTACCACCAACGCGAAACGCACATATTTTTCGCTCTAATCACATAGACATAAAGTTTTTTTCTGATTGGCTTAATGCGATTCCTAGTCGATAAGTGTGGTCACAACCTTATGACACCTTCAAATCAGACGCTTGTGGAAGCGTTGCAATGGAGCGACTGGCGCGGCAGCCGCCCGTCTGTAGCGCTTCAGTAATTTTTAGTTCACTAATTTTGACTGCACGGGTGCCACGACAGTGGCGCTGCGATATTGCACCGTCACTGCAACGCTTTTATAAGCGTCTAATTTGAAGGCACCCCCAATGTTATTGGATAACGCTGTGTCCTTTACACTACGTTCTAAGAGCCAAATCGATGATTTTATACAGTAGTGGCCTATTTCGAAAAACACCCAATTCATGTGGAAAGTGGTTTAAACTGCAGCCTTATATAACGCCAAAGCTGACGAATCATATATTTTAAAACGTTTGAAAAAAGCTATCACTTTGTAAACGCAGTTGTGTAGTAAGTCGAAAATTTTGGTTTGGGCCATTATTATTGAAAGTCAGCGATACATCGTCTCTTTTGCACTAACGAACGTAACTAAGAATTTTGACAGAAGTAAAAATTTTAAGTTCTGTCCATTAGTGTCGTATAAGGGATGATAAGGCGTGTACGTTATTTTTGTCTTGTAGTATATAAGCTAGTGTATGGAGTATGTGCAAAGCTTACATACTGTTCTACAATGTTCAAATTATTTAGTGAGTTCTGCTGTGTCTATTCTTCGTTTTTTTGAGAATTAGACAGAAGGAAATTTTTAATCTTTTATCAGGCACCATTTCATTCAATAATTGTTTAAGCAAAGCATTTCAATAAATACCATTAAACAAAATTCTTCAACATATTGACTAATTTTATGTAAGTAATTATTACGATGTACACGTAGCACTCACTATTATAAATTACGTTTTAAACTCTTAACATGCTTACTTCAAATGCCTTAACTTTAAAAAACTTAGGGGAACAGAGCTTCGATACATTAAACGGATTTTTTTTATAAAATAATAACATAACATCGTGTCATTTGTAAATTTCATTAAATTCTTTATTATCATTTGTTGACTGAAGAAAAAGGTTTACAATCACCGTCTCTATGTTTACTTTTTTTCTAATACTTACTAAAAAAATCGACGTATAGGTAAGAGCATTGTGTCACAAACTTGAGTATTCCATTATAATCGAGCTACATAGCTGAAAATATTCGATATCATTTAAAAGAGCACCGGAACAAAAACCGCTAAGTCACATTTTGACTTTTTCTTATTTTAATGCCAATGGGTAGATTCATACGTTTAGTCTGTGTAGCCAATCTGAACAGCAACCACTAAATCCGCTTTAAAAATACAATGCGACAAATTCATTGAGACCAGACGAAATTAAAATCGCAATTTAACGTTTTTATCGTTTTTTGTTCCGAAGCTCCTCATTGACATCGAGCCTAATGTTTGCTTTGTATTAACAAAATAACATTCAAAGTGCACTTGTGTACTTCTACGCAATTTTGCTAATACACATTCTAAGTTAAGAACATAGCGTAGATTGTGCAATATTTTCGTTACCTCCAAAATTAGATATTGATTCCACACTGTATTCATGACATTAGTTAGTAAGTTATTTGTCTGTTTAAAACTGTTCTCTGTCTTATTGTGAACTCTAATTTATTATTCCGAACTTGAAAGAATACTTGCAGGAGATATGGAATTTATAACATCCATCGATCGTGTGCAAAGAAACGCACACGTGTGCTTTATTGGAGTGGTAATGTACTAGTGGCGAAATACTCTGATAGCACGGTTTCTAATCTGCCCTCCTTCTCATAACTAACGCATTTGAATTTCG